TCGCTGATTACGAATTTGATGTCCGTTTTGGAAAATCCAAAATGGCGGATCCAATATGGCGGACGAAAAAAATAAAAATTCAACCGGATTTGCTTAAAACTTGCTACTCGGGGGTTTTTGGGGTCGCTGATTACGAATTTGATGTCAGTTTTTGAAAATACAAAATGGCGGATCTAATATGGCGGACGAAAAAATAAAAATTCAACCGGATTTGCTTAAAACTAGAACGTTAATGTTTTGTGCCTATATTCATAACTAGCAATCTCGAAAGGCCACAAGTAACCATTTTCAACTAAATTTAATTAATTTCTTAATCTTTGTCCGCCATATTAGATCCGCCATTTTGTATTTTCAAAAACTGACATCAAATTCGTAATCAGTGACCCCAAAAACCCCCGAGTAACAAGTTTTAAGCAAATCCGGTTGAATTTTTATTTTTTCGTCCGCCATATTGGATCCGCCATTTTGTATTTTCAAAAACTGACATCAAATTCGTAATCAGCGACCCCAAAAACCCTCGAGTAACATGTTTCAAGCTAATATCAATAAAAGAGGAACACCAAATATGTAAATAAGATAACTGTAGATTGTTGTTGAAATACATACCGTCATAAATATTGTTATAACTTTTGTTTTTGTACATATTTTTTAAAAATCGTTTTGGGACAGTAATTCTATGATACTAAGGAACATTTTTAAGCAAAAAAAAAAAATCGATTTTTTTGAAATTCTAAACCAGAAAGTCCCCTTAAATTGTTTTTCAATGACATTTTATTACTGTTCAGTGTATAGTTCGCAAGATGCATAAATTATGGTCAGTAATTATGTGTGCAAATTGGTGATACGTATTGAATGTGTGTGATAGAAGAATTACGTCAGGAATATTTTAAATTGTGCAATATCAGTGTAACGTTCAGGTGAGTGGCGTCTTCGCGATGTATTGATGCACGATTCTTATGAAACGATTGTGGGTTTTAGAAAAGATGCTGCATCCGCTCCTATTTTAATGTCGTCCTACAATAATTACTTTATTAAAATCATTCTCATTAGCTGTAATAATAACTTTCTCCTTTAAATTGGAAAAACATTTTTTTCAATAAATGTTCTTTTCTTATAATTTTTTCTAATTTTTGTTCATAATTTCTTCTAAATTTTTTTTCCTAAATACATCGATTATGTAGTTTTATTTTTACTTTCACTTTCACTGTGACAGAATTTTATTTTCACTTTCATTTTTACTTTTACTTTCAGTTTCACTTTCAGTTTGGTAAATTTTTATTTTTACTTTCCCTTTGATAGATTTTTATTTTCACTTTCATTTTCTTTTTAATAAATTTTTACTTTCACTTTCATTTTCATTTTCACTTTGACAAAAAATTTGCCAAAAAAAAAAGATAAAAAGTAAAAATTACTTTTACTTTAATTTTTTATTTTTACTTTGACAAATTTTTGCTTCCACTTTCATTTTCATTTTCACTTTAATAAATTTTTACTTTCACTTTCATTTTGATTGAAACTGAAAATAAAAATCTGTTAAGTGAAAGTTTAAAAAAGAACCTATCAAAGTGAAAATGAAAGCGAAAATGAAAATTAATAAAGTGAAAAATAAGGGGAAAGTAAAAGCGACAGTGAAAATGAAACTAAAAAGAAAATTGAGAAAAGTGAAAATAGAAATCTGGGAAAATGAAAGTGAAAATGAAAATGAAGAAAAAATCTTTCTAAGTGAAAGTGAAAATGAAAGTCAAAGTAAAAATGAAATATCATAATCGACCTCCCTGGTTAAAATGTCGATTTATTAAAATATAAATAACTTAAAGTTATTGCTTCAACCGTATATATGTTAAATTAATTATTTAATAAATAAATAAATAAACAATTCTGGAAATTAAATTTCAGACAAATTTTAAGAAATCAAATATAAAAGTTGAGTAAAATTTAAAGTAAGTGAAATTCGGTTTTATGCATTTAAGCTAAAAAATATCAAAGGTCGCCTTAAAAAGAAAAGAAAAAGGAAAGAAGAAGGAAAAAATGAATCTCGCCTTGACAATAAGTTTACCCTCTATAAATAATGACGGAAAATTGCGAAAGACGTTCCTTTATTTTCGATTTTATGAGAGACATTCTATTGCAATCCTTCTACGTGGCACAGAAGAAAAGATGCGAGGCCTTTCTTCTTCACGAAAAAAGGTCTTTTCTTCTTTGGCGAACCATATATGTATATATAGACTATATATATAAAAGCGACGAAAATTGAAGAAAATTATTTAACATTTTTTTTTTCACTCTGATAAGAAAAAAGTCAGGAAAAAGTTAGGAAATTTTATCAAAAGAACTACTTTTATGCGGAAAAATATCAAATTTCTAGAAATGGTACGAAAATATTCTGTACATTATGTGTTATGTCCTTGGAAAATCCTGGATACCTTAATTTCTCCTTGAACTTTTTTGTCAACCTTAAAAACTTTGAAATCAACGTGAATTGGAAAAAGAAATTTTAAAACATTTTTCTTATTCTGTCAGTAATTGAATTTTAGACTATTTTATAATTGAATTTTTATTTTTGATTTATTAAATTCTAGACGTACTTTGTCAAAATTGTTAAAAATAATAAATTTAGTGAAGAGTAATAAACGTTTTAAAATCAAATTTTTGTATTGAAAAATAAATATTTAAATATTTGTTTTAAAAAAAATTATTAACTTAGATTAAATTTAGTTTAAACTTTTTAAAATTAATTCAATTTTAATATGTTTAAATGAAAAATGTTTGGAAATAAAATTTTGTAAAATTATTTGCTAATAATTGAATATTTTGAAGATTTTTATTCAAATTTTGTAAAATTTTCAAAGAATTTACTCAAAATGATTAAAAAAACAATAGATTTAGTGAAAAAATTTAGAAAAATTTAGACTTTCTGAAGAATTTTATTTGCAATTTTTATAAATAATTGAATTTCATAAACTTTTTAAATTCAAATTTTTGTATAGAGAAATAAATATTTAAATATTTGTTTTAAAAAAATTATTAATTTAGATTAAATTTAGTTCAAACTTTTTAAAATTAATTCAATTTTAAAATGTTTAGATAAAAAATGTTTGGAATTGAAATTTTGTAAAATTATATTGATAATAATTGAATATTGTAAACAATTTTATTCAAATTTTGTAGAATGATCAAATTTTCGAAGATCTTACTTAAAAATTATTAAAAATAATTGATTTAGTGAAAAAGTTTACAGAAATTATTAATTTCATAATTATAGTCGTAATTTTTAAAAATAAATGAATTTTAAAAACGTTTTAAATTTAATTTTTTTAGAAAAATAAATGTTTAAATAATAATTTTTAAAAATTATTGGTTTCGATTAGTTTTATTAAAAATTTTTTTAAATTATAATTTAAAATTTTAAATATATTTATAATTTGAAAAATATATGTTAGGAAGTTAGGAATTTAAGAAAATAATGAATTTTGAATGAATGAAGAGTTGCAATTTTTAAAAATAATAAATTTAAAATTAAAATTAAAAAAAAAATAAAAAAATAAAATTTAAATTTAAAAATTTTAGTTTAAAAACGTTGAAGAAAGTTAGTAAAGAAATAGTCTAATTCAATTTTTTTGAAAGATAATTGAAGTTTTTTTTAAATATTTAATAGAAAAATTATTAAACAAAATTAACTTATGTAAAAATTATGAAAAATTTTTAGTATTGCAAATTGAAATTTTTGAATTTTTACACTTTTTATATTTTGAAGAATAATTGAAGCTTTTAAAATATTTAATTGAAAAATTATTAAAAATAATTGACTTAGTGAAGATTTTTAGTTAAAAATTAAAATTTTTGAATTTATATAAAAAAATTCTCTCAATTCTTAGTTTTAAACTTTTGAGGAAAGTCAAAATTTTGTCTAGAAGTCATAGGGAAAATCAAAATAAATTTTTTGTGATTTACTTTCTTTTCTATTCCTAAACTTTTAGTAAAAATTGACTAAAAATTAGTAGGAATTCTTATATTAATTTGAAAGTAAAAAAATGCACTTTGCAGTCTCTTCATTGAGATAGGATATATTATAATATAAATAGAAAATAAATTTTAATATTTATTTTAGAAATATGAATTAAATTTAAAAAAAAAAAAAAAAAATTGCATTATTTACATGTTTTTTGCACTTGTATTTTTCTTCCCGTGATTTTGTAATTTGTTGCATAGATAATATTATAATATAAAAAAAAAGTTTGTATAGAGCTCGCAGTCAATGTTATAAAAAATATATCTCGGCGAAGGAAGTGTTTATAATAACTATAATTTGTGATACTAATGAAAAGTTTACTGTAGTCGTTTTACTGACATCGTGTTTTGAATCCCGTTGGAAGCATTCAACATACGGACCTGTAACTTTATTGTGGCAATTTCCCTCACCGTATATATATAAAACCGTGTAGTATGCAACATAAGTATGCATTTACTTCTCGACTATATATATATATACATAATATCTATGCAGATGGGCGTTGAAATCGTAATTTATAACTATTTCTAATTTTTTTTTTCGATTTTACTGCACATGGTCTGGTTTTTAATAGTTTTTTATTTTCATATAAATCTATATTCAATGGATATAATATTTTTCTTCTTCTATTTTTACTGTTTATTTTGATACATTTTTTTTTGTTTTCATCTTACACTTAGAAAAAATTTTGTCTAAAACAAGCACACATTTTAGTTGAATTGACAAAAAAAATGCATATTTACAGTAATAATCGAACATTTGTTTAGTTCAACTGAAAATTTGTTTCTGATAACTAAATTCTATATTCAAACGCAATATTTATTAAAACTATATACCAAACGTTTATTTGAATCAAATAAATATTTATTTTCATTAAACAAATTTTTGAGATAAATGCAATTTAATTTTTTAATTTAATTAATTAATTGAATTATTTATTTAATTATTTATTTAATTATTTATTCAATTATTTATTTAATTTAATTTAATTAGACAAAAGTAACAAATTCAGATTTATACTGCAGATTGGTTTAAACTTTAAAATTAAATAATTTAAAATTTTTTATTAAATTTTTATTAATTTCATCTTAAAGAACTTGAAAATAGATAAGTAAAAGCGATTAAAACCAAAGAAAACAAATTTTTGTTTTCGATTAAAGCTGAAGCTGAATTTTGATAGCAGTTGTACTCCTTGTCACTAGGAATAACGTCGTTAAGTAGTTTGAGAAACTCATCCAAGGGACAAATTTCCCTACAACCGGGAATTGTTTGTGAAAGATACATTTCGGTTACTCCCGTCCACAGGAATATCTACAATTTAGAAAGAAATTGATTTAAACAGATGTTTCAAAATTCATTTGAAAATTTATTTCAAAAATATATTTAAAAATTTATTTAAAAATTTATTTAAAAATTTATTTAAAAATTTATTTAAAAATTTATTTAAAAATTTATTTAAAAATATATTCAAAAATAAATTGAAAATATTTAAAAATATAATTAATTTATTTAAAAATATATTTTTATTTTATTTTCTACTTGAATTACAGTCGAACCTGTCGAAATGCAACTCTATTTTTAAAAAAAATTTATTCAAAAAAGTCTAACAAGAATTATTTTTACTTAGTTCCAGAATATTGTAAAAATATTACAAAATTAAATCATAAGACAATTTTTTAAGAAATGTTTATTGTATCATAAAAATTAAAAAGTCGAGTTTTAACTATACTTCAACATTTTTTTTTTATTTGTTACGCTAAAAGTTACTTTTTTCCATTTTTGAGAATTTACACTACTTTAAATTTGTTAACAGTTGAAATAAAAAAATTATTCAAAAAAATTTTAATAAAGTTATTGGAAAAAATTCAAAAAATTTTAATAAAATTCTTTACGATTCAATTATTTTCACAAATTTTTTGTAATTCAATGATTTTTAATATCTACTATTTTAATAAAAAATTTCCCAAAAGAATTGAATAATTTGAAAAAAATATTTATAAAATTCTTCGCAAACATTCAATTATTATCATAAATAAAAGAATTTTCGCAGAAATTCAATTATTTAAAACAGAATTTTCCTAATATTCTTCGAAAAAAATCAATTATTTAAATAGATTTTTATAAAATTCTTCGCAAGAATTCAATTATTTTTATAAATAATAAAATTCTTCACTGCAATTCAATTATTTTTAAAAAATTTAGTAATAATCGTTGCAAGAAATTAATTATTTTTATAAATATTAAAACTCATCGCAGGATTTCAATTATTTTTAATATAATTTTAATCAAATTCCGTGAAAAATGGAACTATTTTTAAAAATTTTAATAAAATTCTTTGAAAGAATTCAATTTTTTTAATAAGTAAAGATTAAAATTCTTTAAAATGTTTCAATTATTTTCACAAATTTTTCGTTTAATGATTTTTAATATCTATTTTAATAAAAAAATTATTAAAAGAATTGAATAATTGAAAGAAATGTTTATGAAATTCTTCTCAAATATTCAATTATTTTCATAAATAAAAAATTTTTTACAGGAATTCAATTATTTAAAACAGAATTTTTAAAATGTTTTTCGAAAAAAATCAATTATTTAAATAGATTTTTATAAAATTCTTTGCAAGAATTCAATTATTTTTATAAATAATAAAATTCTTCAACTATTCAACTATTCTTAAAAGTTTCAATTTATTTTTCTTTTCTATTTTCTTTGAAACAATTGAATTATTTTAAAAAATTTTAATGAAATTCTTTATAATAATTGAATTATTTTCATAAATTTTTCGGAATTTAATACTTTTTAATATCTACCTACTATTTTAATAAAACGTTTACCAAAAGAATTGTAATAATTTAAAAGAAATGTTTTTCGAAAAATATCACTTTTTTTAAATAGTTTTTTATAAAATTCTTCTCAAGAATTCAATTATTTTAAAAATTTTTAATGAAATTCTTTATAATGTTTGAATTATTTTCAATATTATTTTAATAAAATGTTCTGAAAAAATTCAATTATTTTCATAAATAGTATACAATATTCAAAGATTAGAAATTCAATTATTTAATTAAAACTCAAATTATTTTCATAAAGTTTTTAAAAAGATTTTTTTTAAATTAATTCTTACAAAAAATGCAATTATTTAAAAAAATTTGAAATAATTTGTTTCTTAGAGTGTAATAATTATTTTCAATTAATTTTAATTACATTTCCTGAATTTAATTATTATCAAAAATTTTAATGAAATTCTTCGAAAAAATTCAATTATTTTAAAAAATGTTGGTAAAGTTTTTTATAAGAATTCAAGTTTCACAAATATTCGCAATTATTCAATAAATTTATTTTTGTATTTAAATAATTGAATTCTCGTAAAACTTTCTAATATAAGAATTGATTTAGAATTGAATAAAATAAAATGATTAAAGTTTTGAATAATTTTATTTATAAATTTCAAGAAAAAAATGATTGAATTTCGAAAGAATTCGTTTTGTAATTTTTAGAAATAGTTTCATTTTAAAAATGCGTTACATTAAAATCATTTGAAATATTTTAATTCCTGTAGACAAAATAAATAGGTATTTAAATATTTATTTTCAAAAATTTTTCTATTTTTGAATGTAATTAAGAAATTATAAAAAAATTGAGTCTTCAAGTATAATTTTTCGATAGCTACTTTTTTACTACTTTTTTCTGTCTTTAAGCTACTTTTTGCTACTTTTTGAAAATTAATTATCGAGTACAAAGCCTGCCACTTGAAATGGTAAAATTAACATTAAAATGATGATAAAATAACGAAATATCATTTTCTTACCCTAATAAAATAGTCATTGCTCTCATTTTGAAGTGTTTCTATTATAAAAGTCGATCCATAACTTGGAAGTATTGGCGTGTTTAATCCTAATACTCTAGCAAATGAAACAACATTTAATTCATGAGCTGAAAAGAAAAAGGCTTTCCGGTCAGGAGGCTTCATTGTTCCTGCTCGCACTTCCTTTATGTCGTCCGTTATTTTTCGCAAAAGCATACCTACAATTTTTTTTTTCATTAATTAGACACTGCACTATATATCAACAAATTAATTTCACTTTTTATTTTTTCAAAAGCAATTTAGAATTTCATCGATTTTTCCAATATTTATTTAACCAAATCACGTTTAAAATTGTACTCTGCTTACATAAAATTACTATATTAATTTAATATAATTCGATTTTTTAAACATTATTAAAAATTATTATTATAAAAATATTATTATTAAAAACATGGAGAAAAAATATTTAAATTATTCAAATTTGCCTTGCTCAATATATAATTTGGTTAAATTAATTTTTTTGTGTAATTTTTTCTGACTACAAACCTCCATTTAATCGCTTTAATTTTGTTGTATTTGATCTGAGATTAAAATCCATAGCCGTGATATTCTTCATTGGAATTGGATAGACACTTTGCGTCCAAATTGGTAGGGATAAATTTTGTGCTGCCTGTATTAAAATTAATCATAAATGCTCATTAATATTAAAATATGTGAAGTTTTTAAATTTTATTGTTTTGAAAAGCAATTTATAACTCTTATACAACAGTAATTATTTATAATTTTATAATTTTCATGATGATGCAATAAGTACTGAATTTTCATCAATATAATTAATATAAATTTTCAATATTAAGTAAATAAATAAATGAATAAATAAATAAGAAAATAAGAAAATAAATAAGAAAATAAGAAAATAAATAACAAAATAATAATAAAAATAAAAAATTATTTATTATATATAGTTATTAGATTTATTTTTATGTATAGGCTATAATTATTTTATTATTATTTATAATAAGTCAATTTTTATTACCTCTTCTTTTAGTAAATTATACAAATAATAAACGGTGCTTGTTGTTTGTACAGTTTTGCCCGTTTTTTCTGTTAAGTAGTCAAAAACTTCCTTGTACGTACTCAGGAAATTTTTCACTTCTGGTTGATTGAGAAATTTTTTGTACGTTTCTTTATATCTAAAAACAGAGAATTTAAAAATTTTTAATTTATGACTATTGATACTTTTTTTAATTTCATACAACTATTTAGCTACTTATTTTCATAAATTTCTTGAACCGAGATTTTAAGTATCAATTTATTCAGTTAAATTAATTATAACTCTAAAAAAATTGTTAATCATAAAAATATCGAAAATTAAAAATTTAAATCCTTGACAAACTCTCTAAATTTGATTATAAATTATTATAAAATTGAGATTATTTACGAATATCTCGAGTTTCAATATGGAGATAATATTCTCCACCTGCGAACGTCAAGGTCACCGCTAGATGGCAGTTAAGTTGAGAAAATCAGATTGCCACCTAGTGGCGACCTTGGCATTCTCAGGTGGAGAAATTTAACCTTCTTTTTATCGTTGAAAAAAATTTTTATAATTAATAAAATTCAAAAAAGGTTATTGTGAGAATAATTGAAATGTATGCGACTATTTGCAACTATTACGAATATTTTATGACACTTTTGATACTATTTTTTTATTTTCAAATTCAGTCCGAAGCACTTAAAAAAAATTATTTTCTTCAAATGACCGATTACTTGCCTATTAATCAAATAAATATTTATTTAAATCAAATTTTTTTTTAACAAATAAATATTTACTTGAACCAATAATTGCAATATTTGAAGCAAATAAAATTTATTTGATTTAAATAAAAATTATTTCATTGAAGTAAATATTTATTTGATAATAGAATCAAGTAATCGTTTACTTCAATCAGAAATTTTTTTTTTTTTCATTGTTGTGAAAATTAATTTTAACATCTAATGTTAACTTGAACAATTTAATAATTAAATTTTACTAAATTTTAATAAATATATTTTACTAAATTTTAATAAATATATTTTACTAAATTTTAATAAATATATTTTACTAAATTTTATAAAAATTAATAAAGAATTGTAAAGAATTGTAAATAATTGCAAAGAATAAAAATAAATAATTAAAAAAAAGAAATAAAAATTATTCTTTGTACATAAATGTTAGATATAAAGAAAAATTAAAAATACATGGTTAAGTATTTTTTGAAATTGACTAGGAATTTACTTGTAATTGAAATAAAATGTTCTGACTGAAAAAGCACGTACGTTTTGCGTGTTGAATGGTATTTTGCTTGTTTATCATCTTCTTTTAATCTCTGCATATAATTGAAAAAAGAAAAAAAAACGTTATAACTTTACCTTTATTATGTCTTAATTATATACGTATATACTTTAGTCTCAATTGATTTAATTTATTATTTCGTAGCAAACTTCTTCATGTTTCTTTGTTGTAAAGATTTATTTCTTTTTTTCTTTTTTATTTTTATTTACAACACACATTTCAAAAGTATAATGAGAATGTAATATTTTATATATTCACGACGAAGGGCGGTTGGTTTAACATATAGAAAATTGTTTCTTTGAATCAAATAAAGAAATGAGAGAAAAATTATTATTTTTTTCTGAGAAAAAATTCTTTATGAAGTTTTTTAGTAATTTGTTACTAACATCTTACATCACTTTAAAATTTATTCTTTGAGAAAAATAATTCCATTATTAACTGTCAAGTATTTAGAATTTTTTCTTTTATTAATACTTTATTTCAATAGAATGCAGTCAAATTATTTTCATTTGATAATATTATTATTATTATTATTGAGTGATTAATGTTCATAATTAATAATTAATTAATTAATAATAAAATTAATCTAATTTAATTTTCTAAGGATTAAATAATAACAAAAATGAATAAAATAAAATTCTTTTGAATTTTTTAAAATTATTCAAAATAATTAAATTCTTTCAAGGTATTTAATTTAAAATTGTATACAATATTATTGATATAATATTAATTCAATTAATATTAAATTCGTAAAGAATTTTATCAAAATTTTTGAAAAAAAAATTAAATTCTTAATTCAAAGAATTAAATTCTTAGAAAGAATTTGTTTAAAACTTTTAAATATATAATTCAGTTCTTTAGAGAAATTTTAGTAAAATTGTACTTAGAAGAATTGAAGTCCTGTGAAGAATTTTATTTATAAGAATAATTAAATTGTTTTGAATGAATTAATTAACATTTTTGAAAATAATTAAATTCTTAATTTAGTTAAAAGTTAAAACTTTTGAAAATAATTCAATTCTGTAGAAAAATTTTACTAAAATTGTAAAAGAATTCAATTCCTCTGAAGAATTTTATTTATAAAAATAATTGAGTTGTTGTGAAGAATTTATTTAAAATTTTTTTTAAAAATTGAATTTTTCTAAGAATTTTAACGAAAATTAAAATAATATAGAATTCTTTCAAGGAATTTAATTAAAATTGCACAGAAAATTTGGAAAAATAATTCTCATAAAGAATTTTATTAAAACTTTTTGAAAATAATTTACTGTTTGTAAGGAATTTAATAATTTTTTTTTTTAAATTGAATTGTTTAGAGTAATTTCTATTAAAATTGAATTTAAAAGAATTTTAATTTCTGCAAAGATTTTTATTTATGTATAAGAATATTTAAATTGTTGTAAAAAATTTAATTAAAATTTTTTAAAAATTGAATTGTTGTAAAGAATTTTTAAGAAATTATTGAAAATAATTGAATTCTTATAAGGGAGCGTTCACAAATTTATCAAAATTTTCTGAAAATAATTGATTTTTTGCGAAAAATTTTAATTAATATTTACAAAATTAATTATAAATTCTATTGAAGAAATTTTATTAAAATTGTAGGTATTCAAAATAATTGAATTTCTCTGAAGAATTTTATTATTATATGATAATAATAATTGAATTCTTGTGGAGAATTTTCTTGAAATTTTGGAAAATAATTAAATTGTTCAAAATGCCCTTTAATTTTTTAAAAATAAGAATTAATAATAATTGAATAGTTAATTGAATTTTTTTACAATTTTAAATCTGAATTAATATATAATTCTTACATAGAATTTTATCAAAATTTTATATTAAAAAAATAATAATAATAATTTGAATTCCAACCAAAAATTTTATTTATTAAAAAATTAACTAGTGAAGAATTTAGAAATGTTTTTAGAGCAATTGAATTGTTTCGAAGAATTTTGTTAAAATTTTTGAAAATAATTAAATTCTTTTGAGGAATTTAATTAAACTTAAATTTTAAAAATAATTGAATTCTCATAAAGAATGTTATAAAACTTTTTTTTTTTGAAAATAATTGACTTTATGTGAAGAATTTAATTAAAATCTTCAAAAATAATTTAATTCTATATCAAGAAACTCTATAAAAATTGTATTCAAAATAATTTATTTCTTGTGAAGAATTTTGTTAAAATTTTTTAAAATAGCCTATTGAATTCTTGTGGAGAATTTTTTTTTGTAATTCTTCAAAGTAAATGAATTTTGTTTTTTAAGATTTTAATGTAAATTTTCAATTTTAATTTTTTTTAATTTAATTCAATTCAATTCTTTCAAGAAATCTTATAAAAATTGTATTAAATATAATATTGAATTCAAGCAAAGAATTTTATTGTTTATAAAAATAATTAAATTCTTGTTTTTATTTTCTGATTACTATAATTTTTTATGGATTTAAAAAAAAAAATATTTAAATGAAAATAAAATGATAAATATTATAGCAATTTTTTTTTTACTTACTCCGGACAATAACTAGGGAATAAAAGAGAATCCTTTTCAAATGGCACAAATTCAAAATCCACTGGAATCCATGGTAAATTGCGATTCCATTCTTGTTTTCTAGTTGGTGGAAATAATCCAGAGAGAACTAATTGTAGGGACATTTTTGTTCGCGGCACATCCGTTGATCGTCCATAAACTAATGACGGCCAATATTGTGATCCAAAATAATCGTCATATTTTTCGCGAAGCATTAATCCAATTTTAAATTCTCTCATCATTCCCAACTGTATAAAAATTTTTTACATAAAGGTAAATTTTTTTTTATCATAAAAAATAATATTTATTTATTTTTTTACACTGAGAGGAAACAATATATTTGTATCAAACATAATTGGCAACCAAAAAAAATATATTTTTTTTAATTATAAACATAATTTTGATTCAATAAAAATTACTTTTAATTCAATTCAAAAAATATAATAATTCACTGCCCGTTTATTATTGTAAATAAATTATAAAATATGTATGTTTAATTCAAGCACATTATTTGTTTTATTTTTTATTTTTGAATTAAAAAAATTTTTTCACCAGTAGGTAGTGTATTTAAAAATAAGAAAAGATAAAAATAATTTTTTCGATAAAAGAAAATAATTTATTTGTCGATTAAGAAAACCAGTTTTTTCCATTTATATTTATATTAAGTGTTGGTAAAAAAATTGTTTTGTTTATTTTTTTTATTTGAGAAAAAACTTACAGTCGTGAGACCGCCACTGTCAATTGGCAGGAACGAATGATTACCATGAGGGTCGTTGGGATAATTTTGAAATAATTTGTCGGGAACCTTATCTCCATGACGAAATAGCTGCGAAATTTTTGCAGAAACAAAAAGTCACTTATTACTTAATAGTTAATTTTATAGTTAAATTTTTTTGGGTCGAAAACTAAATTTTAAGTTTCTTTCGACACTTGGTAGGAAAACGAATTTTTCTTTTAATTCTTTTTTAATCAAATGATAGAAAAAATACAGTCAGTTTAATAATTAATACAAAAAAAAATTAAATTATTAAAAACATTGTTAGGAAAATAATTGTAATTTAAAATTTTAATTAATAATTAATAATTTTAATTCTAAACAAAGAAAATAGTTTATATTGCTGTAAATGTAAAATCTATTTACCACGTGCAGCATTTTTAACTGAAGTTCGCTTTTTGCGTGGCTAACAAAAATTGCAAAAATTACACAAATTGATAGAGATTTCATTTTTTTTTTTTTTTTTTTTTTTTTTTTTTAAATAAAAATCTAAAATTTGGAAATTTTTTCCTCTGAAATAAATTTTTCACGGTTGCGACTACTTATAATAGACAATATATTAAACGCAACCTCTATGATATCCCACCGAACTCTACAATACCTTTGATGTTTCTGCTTGACTAGACTCTCACTATAACATTTTGAGAGGTGGGGAATATAAGGAAAAACTAACAGGTTTACGTGTCGATTCTTTAACATGTTAATTATTCATTAAAATGAATTACTTTTTCTCGAGAATTTTTCTCACCTCTCTGAAATTGAACGAAAATAATTCACAATTTTTATGACAAATGGGATTTCCTAAGTCTTAGAAAATTGAATCAAGAAAATTTTTTTTAAATGATCTTTATTTAGAATATGATGGGGAAATAGTAAACGTCATATAGTGAATGTAAAATAAATTGTTAGACTTTTTTTTTCTTGAAACTTGTTGATTGTTGATTCATGCACTTGATATTGAAATTTTCATTTTACTTTAATTCTTCTATTCTGTGGAAAAAAAAATTTGAATAGTGATTTAATTCTAATTTTAGGGTCTGAAACATATGCAAGAAAAAATTAATTCGAAATTAAAATAATTAATTACATAAATACATAATTTGAAAATTTGAAATTTCAATTTAAAATTTTTATTTGAAATTTAAATTCACTTGTATGTTTTGTGAAAAAAAAATGATTTGTATCAAGTAATTTTTATTTAAGTCAAAATTATTGAAATTATTGATTCAAGTAAATATTTATTTGATAAAATAAAAATGATTTAACACGAGTAATTCTTTATTTTAATTTATTTAAATTTAAAAATTTGCAATTTTTTTTTAATAACACTTGTTGTAAATAAAAATTATTTTTTGCAAAAAAATAAATACACAAATAGTCGATTATTTGAATCAAAATTTTTTTAGTCTATTTTTAGAATTTAGAATATATTTTTTCTGCTACTATTTTGTATATATAATTTATAGTCACGTTTTGTTTATTATAGTTTTTTTCTAGTTAAATAATCTTTAACGTCCGAGATTCTTTTATAAAAATAAGGCAAATAAAACGAAAACATTCGGAAAATGGATAAAAATATTTATTTACTCCAACGTTTTGAAATCTAAATAATTTCCGCTTCAGGGAATCTATGAAAAAAATATATACAAAATTTTAATAATAAAAAATAATTTAACAATAAATAAAATAAAAATTGATTGAATAAATAAAAATCTTACCAAACATTAATAATTAAATTAGACGAAGAATTCAATTTTATGCCCTGACGATATTTTTTTTTTATTTTTTAAACAATAAAATTAGTTAGTTACTCTTTTAGGTCCGGGAATTTTGATAAAAACAAGGTAAATTAAACGAAAACATTTGTTAAAATGTTAATTTTAATTTAATTCTAATTTATAAAATTAGAATATTTACATTCAAAAAGAGTGAAATTAAAAAATTTGAAGGTTTTGGATTGAATTTTTTAAATAGATTAATTTTAAAATTGATAAGAATACTTTTCCTGGATTTAAGTGCTACTCTTAAAAGTGTAACAAAAACGGGGTTAATATTTATTTCTATACATGATTTTGCATATAAAAGGCATTTTTTGGCTGATTCAAAAAATGTCATTTACGTATGTAAATATACGAGAAAGTAGAAAGCCTAAACGAAATTGCAGACTGAGTCTCTCGAATTCGTTTTTCTTAACTGAGATTTATATTTAAACGAAAAGAACTGTTTTTGACACTTTTATGTTCTGTTCGTAGTTTGAAATTTTTTTTTCATTTCTGAATTACATAACGACTGCGAAATACGAAGTTTACACATTTTTTATTCTTATTATTATTATTATTTTTATTTTTAAGATTATTGTTACTATTATTATTATTAATTATTAAGTTAAAGTTGAAGTAGTTTTTTCATAACTTTTTAATAATTTGAATTATTTACCATTCTCTAAATTTAAATTAGTAAAAATTTTTATTAATTTAAATTAGCGACTAACTTTTTCTTTTGAATTAGTACTCTCTAAATTTGAATTAGTAAAAATATTAATTAATTTGAATTAGTAACTGACTTTTTGCTTTTGAAATTTGATTTAGTAAATTTTACTTATAAATTAGTAGAAATTACTATTTCTTTGTAAAATTTACTAATTCAAAAGCAAAAAGTCAGTCACCAATTCAAAGTAGTAAACATTTTTAGCAATTCAAATTTAGAGAGTAATTTTTTTTTACTTTTTTCCGAATGTTAAGTAAAACTGTTTAAAAATCGAATTATTTTCAAAATAAATATTTTCAATTCACAAATTAACAAATTGGATTATTTGTTAAATTTTTTCTGTTAATCATTACCTAATATTTTTTATCTTTTTCCGTAGTCTGTAGATTTTTTAAACTTTGAATCAAAATTTTTGTTACAACGCTACTTTTATTGTAAAATTCCGCATGAATTTCACTGAATTCGAAGTAAATTTCAGTAAAAATTAGTAAAAATTCCTCCAAAAATAGTCAAATTAGCAACTAAAAATTGTTATTTCTAAAATAACTTTTACTATTAGAGAAGAAAATTTCTTTATAAAAATAAGAAAAATTTACTTCAGTGGAAAACTGGAAGTAAAATTTACTTTGGAAATAACAATTTTCAAAAGCGAAATTTCAGTAAAAATTAGTAAAAACCCCTCCAAAAATAGTCAAATTTTTCCAACTAAAAAAAATTACTACTAGTTATTTTTTGTCAACATATAATTTTTTATAACACAGAGCAATAATTTTGTTGTTTTTTTCTATATCATAAATGCAGATAATATTGTGCTATTTTGCAGTGATTTTTTCTCTTCCTAAATCTCAAACTAGTCTGAAATAATCTCCTAAATCATCTCTCGTTAGTTGCAGTGAGAATTTTCGTATTTTCGTAAATTGAGATTACTTGAGATTTAATTTATGGTTCACGTGCGGTGGAATGTGTCTTTTGAAAGCAGGCGATGCAAAAATCTCCCCTATCTCCACTGTATCATAAATTATTTCAAAACAATAATTTATATTATTTTCGTGTTATAGTTATTATACAAAAAAGTTGTGGCTTTGTGAGTTTATTATTTTTTTTGTGTATAAAAAGGAGTTTCCGAAGTGAGAAAAAAGTGAGTTTGCCGAAAGCAAGTGTCAAATGATGTTTGGTGTGCTTTTCTGCATATTTTTTGCTCTATTCCAAGGTAAGTTGAATTATACAATTTCAATATTAATTAATATCTGGCTTAAAATAAAGAAATAAAATAAAATAAATAAACTTTATGTATTATTAATTAATAATATTTTTAAATTGTATATTAATTGAATAAATTAGTTAATTAATTAAATTAATTTGGGTTATTTATATTTAGATAATTAATATCAAAAATAATATTTCCAATTATAATCATAATTAGGTAGAAAATAATAAAGTAAAGCCAAATAAATATACTGAGAGAAAAATTTATTTTATTCAAATAACCTACTACTTGACAATTATGATTCAATTATTTTCAAATCATTTTCAAAACTAATAAAATTCTTCTCTGAAATTCAATTATTTTTAAAATTTAAATAAAATTCTACGGAAACATTTAATTATTTTTAAAAATAATAAAAATTTTACAGGAATTCAATTATTTAAAAAAATTTTATAAATTTCTTCGCACAAGAATTCAATTATTTTCATAAATAATAAAATTCTTTTTAGAAATACAATTATTTTGATTACCTACAAATTTAATAAAATTTCTTGATAAAATTTAATTATTTTTGTATATTTTAATTAAAATTTTCGCAAAAAGTCAATTATTTTCATTTATTTTCTATGGAAAATTTATTTTCTTCCTAAGAATTCAATTATTTTGAAAAATGTTAATATAATTCTTCATAAAAATTCAATTATTTTCAAAAATGTTAATATAATTCTTTATAAGAATTCAATTATTTTCTATGCAATTTTAGTTAAATTTCTCGAAACAAATAAATTATTTTTAATAATTGTTATAAAATTCTTCGAAAAAATTCATTTTTTAAAAATTTTAATTAATTCTTTACAACAATTTAAGTATTCTTATAAATAAAATTCATTTGCGGAATTTCAATTGTTTTTAAAATTTTAATACAATTTTAATCAAAATCCTCAAAAAATGTAATTATTATTTAAAAACTTTATTGAAATTTATCGAAAGAATTCAATTATTTAAAAATTTGTTGATGAAATAAATTTAATTATTTTCTATGCAATTTTAGTTAAATTTCTCGAAACAAATAAATTATTTTTAATAATTGTTATAAAATTCTTCGAAACAATTCATTTTTTAAAAATTTTAATTAATTCTTTACAACAATTTAAGTATTCTTATAAATAAAATTCATTTGCGGAATTTCAATTGTTTTTTAAATTTTAATACAATTTTAATCGAAATCCTCAAAAAATGTAATTATTATTTAAAAATTTTATTGAAATTTATCGAAAGAATTCAATTATTTAAAAATTTGTTGATAAAATAAATTCTTTATGAGAATTCAATTCCAAGAAATACTCAATTATTCAATAAATGATTAGTAAATTTATTTAAATAATTTTTTTTATTTAAATAATTGAATTCTTGTAGAATTAACTATATTTTTTAATAAAAATTTATTTAAAAATGAATTTCAGTTAAAATTTTTGATAATAATTGAATATTAAAAGCATTTTAGCGTGAAGTTTTAGAAATAATTGAATTTTGAAAAGGTAAATGATAATAATATTTAAAAAAATATATTATTGTAAATAGTATATAATATTTATTTATTAATTACTATTATTTTTATTATATACTATATCTCATTTATAATTTACAGTCGATTGTACTCGAGCAGATCAAATATCGACTAAAATTTATAATGGAGTTAATGTTAAAACTGGAACATATCGTTTTATGGCAAGTTGTTGTTTCTAATTATAATTTATAAAAAAAATGTAATTATTTTAAATATTTTAATACTTTTTCCTTTTTTCAGGTGTCAATTCAATCGAACGAAGTGCATATATGCGGGGGTGCAATTATAAATAAATATTATGTTCTAACAGCTGCTCATTGTTTCATTGAGTACATTAACTTTTTCTTTCTTATGTTCAAGTATTTTTTTTTTTTGTTTTAAATTATTATTTATTTTCCATTTTTACTTAATTAAAGAATTTATTAAAGAAATTTTCTTTTTTTCTTTATCAATTTTACATTAATTGCTTTAGAATTATTATTTATGCTCAATTATATTATTTATGCTTATTATCGTTAATTGCTTATTGTAATATTATTATTGTTTATTTCTTTATTATTGTTGTTTTATAATTAAATACTAATTTGAATATTAATTTTTTTTAGGTATGTAATTAGTGAAATAAAAATAAAAGCAGGAACTACAAATTTAAATGCTTCCTCATATTATCGCAATGTTGAAGAAATAATTAGACATGATAATTTTGATAGTGAAGGAACTGCCGAATATGATATCGCTTTAGTCAGAGTAAATTTCAATTACTTTTATAATTTTTTGAATTATTTTTGTTACTCTAATTGTAGTTTTTGAATTATTTACATAATTTTATTAATTGAATTATTTAAAATACTCTCTAAAATTGAATTAGTAAAAATATTTACTAATTTGTATTAGTGACTGTATTTTTGCTTTTGAATTAGTAAATTTTACTAATAAATTAGAAGAAATTACTGTTTATTAGTAAAATTTACTAATTCAAAAGAAAAAATTAGAATTAGTAAATGTTACTAATAAATTAGTAGAAATTACTCTTTGTTAGTAAAATTTACTAATTCGAAAGCAAAAATTCAGTCACTAATTAAAATTAGTAAACATTTTTACTAATTCCAATTTAGAGATTAGCAAACAATTATTTAATTCTGATATATTTCTTTACTGCCCTTAAAGAATTTTTTTTTTAATTCTTAGGTAGAGACACCATTTCCATTAAATGATGATTCAATTCTTTTTATTAATTTACCAGAGCGTGATGATAATTTAAAAGTTAATCAACTAGTTCTTGTTGCTGGTTGGGGTAATACTATGGTATTATTATTTTTATTTATTTATTAGTTTTCTCATTGTAGGATGTTAATATTAAAAATTTTGTAATTTATTTAGGACGAAGAAATTTCGTATGAATTGAAGCAGGTTTTACTTGTTGTAGCAGATCATAAGGAATGCAAGAAGGCTTATGGAAATAAAGAAGTGTATCAATTTGAAATTACTAAAAGGCATTTTTGCGTTCAAAGTCCTTCAGGAATACGTGGTCCATGTGTTGTATGTTTATTAAAATAACTCTTATTAAATTTATTAATTAATTAATTATTAATTGCAACCTTTGTAATCTAAAATGTAATACTGAACTTTTTTCGAAAAATTTGAATAATTTTTTTTTTGCTTTCAAAAAGGTATTCTGAATTTTTAGGAAAAATAGTATTCTTTCAGAAAGATTTCGAATTCTTATGGAACTAAATTTTAATTAATATTTTTTTCTCGAAATTGAATATTTGCAGTCAATATGGAGAAGCTAGGCTCCACCTGCGAACGCCAAGGTCACCGCCAGGTGGCAGTTCAGTTATGAAAACCAGATACTACGCCACCTGGTGGATGACCTTGGCGTTCTCAGGTGGAGAAATTTTATTTTCATTTTATTTTATATTTATTTGAACCTTTTTATTCCTTAGAAAATTTTTTATAATTAATAAAATGCAAAAAAATGTTATTGTGAGAATAATTGAAATTTATGCAACTACTTGCGAATATTTTTTGACATTTTTGATACTATTTTTTATTTCCAAATTCATTCCGAGGCCTAAGAGCAAAGAAGTAAAATAAATTCTGAATTACAGGTATTTTTTCGAAAAATTCTAATTCCTTTATTTTCAGAGAGATTCTGGCGGACCTGTGATACGTTTACAGAAGAAAAATAAAACATCAGTTCCAGTTATTTTGGGCATTATTTCATGGGCAGATACTAATTATTGTGGAGATCCTAGATATCCGGATGTTCTTACTAGAGTATCGAAATATTTGGGTTGGATAAAACGCAATTCTGTTTATTAATTTTTAGAAAATATTATTATATCAATTAAATTTTTTTAAATTTTATTTTCAAACTCTACGCTGAAAAAAATGTATTTGATTCAAATAATCGTTTACTTGATTATTATCAATTAAATATTTACTTGAATTAATTAAATATTTACTTGATTTAAAATTAAATATTTACTTGAATCAATTAAATATTTACTTGAATCAAATAATTTTCATTTTAGTCCAAGTAAATATTTAATTGATAGTAATCAGTTATTTGAATCGAATAAAATTTTTTTTAGTGTATAAATAAAGTGAGGGATTTTACATGTAAAAACACAGAAAGGGTATACATAGAGAATTAAAAAAAATCTCTATAAATAAATAAATGTAATAATGTATTGTTACACAGCTGAATTCTTTTTCAATTTTAACCTTTCATTTTTTTAATTTTTATCCCAAATTTTCGAAAATATTTTTAAAAAAGTGTTCTATTTTATTATCAGAAATAAAAAATATTTTACAAAAATTCTGTATTATTATTCGTTTAATATTATTTTAATATTATATATTATTTATAAGAACAATAATATTTCATTATTATTATTTCAATATTACATTAACTATATTGAATATTCTATCTTTTTATTAAATACCAAACTGAAAAACATTTGTATACATCAATTAAACGATTAATTGTCTATTATTTATCAAATAAATATTTACACGAATCAAATAATTTTTATTTAAATCAAATAAATTTTATTTGCCTGAAAATATTGATTGAAATACAATTTATTTCGTTTAAATAATATTTATTTGATTCAAGAGAATATTTCATTGATAATAGAAAAATTATTTGTCTCAAGTAAATATTTATTTGATAATAGAAAAATTATTTGATTCAAGTAAATATTTATTTAATAATAGAAAAATCATTTGATTAAAGTAAATATTTATTTGATAATAAAAAAATCACTTGAATAAAGTAAATATTTATTTGATAACAGACAAGTAATCGATTATTTGAATCAAACAATTTTTTCTTCAGTTTATGTTTACAAATAATTGAAGATGAAGTTATCATGAGAAAAAGATGGCAATGGAAGATAAAATGGTTCCTCAAGCCCCTTACAAGGTTAATAATGATCTTTATGCTCTTTTATAAGAAGGAAAAGTATTTTATCAAATACAATAAAATTTCATTTCACTACATTCTTAACATATAATCTTCAATTACTACCTTAATGTTTTATTTCTATTTTAAACATTTTTTTTTTATTTTAAAGAAACTTAGAAAAACATTTTTTTTTAACATTATCTGCTTCTTATTTATTTTAAAATAAATTTTTTTGAATTTCTTGAGATTAAACATAATCAATTATTAAAGAAAAAATCTCTCTAATTGAAAACATTTGAACATTTTCTTTTTTTTTGTAAAAGCAATTAAAATTTTTTTCAATTCAATTTGTATTAAATTTAAAAAAGAAAATTTATTACAAATTTAATTTGAATTCTAAATAAAATTTAAAAAATGATTTAAAATTATTTCTTTTGTCTTAAATAATTTTTTTTTCTGCGGTTGCAAACTCAATATTTAAGAAATGTCATTAAAAATATTCTGACCTTTTTTCGATGTGAGATTAGCTGTAGAAAAAATAGACAATTGTTCAAAGTTGTAAACTTGTTTTAGAAAATTTCTTTTTCACAATGACATGTACTTTCAGATTAGATTTCATTTCTATTGAATTTTCTCACAGGAAAAAAGAGAGAGAGAGAGAGAGAGAGAGAGAGAGAGAGAGAGAGAGAGAGAGAGAGAAAAAAAGAAAGAGTATAGTAATTTTAGTTACAGTTTCAATTTGAATCTAATCTGTAACTCTTAAATCATCTCTACTGGTGTGATAATTTTTTTTTTAAACATTTATTGTAGGAGATAATTCTTATATTATTATGTGAATTAAATGTTAGAAAACGAATGGTAAATGATGCGATTTTTAAGGAAACGAAGAGAAAAAGAATAAAAAAAGAAGAAGATTGCTACTATCTTTCTGTCGTAAAAGTTTAAAGTGAATTTGATATATGTTTCCCATAGTGCTTTTTTAAAGATTGTTACATTGTATGGGGACCATATAAAAGGCTTTTTATTTGAATGAACCTTTAGTAAGTTGATGCTGGTCGCTTCAGTTGTGCATATTTTAGTGAATTTATAAAAAAAAATTATCAACTTTTGGACATTTTTTTGGTTTTAGTATTTATATTATTGAAAAAATATTGTTTAATATCAATTAATTAATTGTTTAATATTTTTTTAAATTTATATTATTTGGTGAAAAAGGAACAGAAAAAGGAAGTTAATTATATGGAAAAAAGGAATAAAGTAACTTTTACTATACTTTCTTGGTAAAATTGAGGCAGTCTGATATTTCTGTTCATTTTTGTCAATTTTTAGTAGTACCAATGGCAAACATTTTTTATTAAAGTAAGTTTATATTTTCGGTTTTCATTTTATTCAAAATTTAATACAAAATTGACTTGTAAACTTACTACAAGATTTACTATTAAATTAACTTTTAAATTTAATACTAAATTTACTACAAAATTTACTTCTTTTATTACTAAATTTACTACAAAACTTACTTCTTTTATTACTAAATTTTACTATTAAATTAACTTCTAAATTTACTGCTAAATTACCTAATAAATTTACTTCTAAATTTACTACTAAATTGAACAGTAAATTGATTAGTAAATTGACTACTAAATTGACTACTAAATTTACTTATTTTATTACTAAATTTGCCATCAAATTAACACTAGCACCAAAAATCGAAAATTCTTAAAATTCAATATTTTTCTTTTTTTTTAAGGCAAATTGCCTTAATATTTTATGGGCTCTTCAAAAATACTTTATTACTAAAATTATTAGTTAATTTACTACTAAATTTACTTATAAATTACTAATAAATTAAGTAGGTACTAAATTGATTAATAAATTTACTACTTTTACTTCTTTTATTATTAAAGTTGTCCTTAAATTTTCTATTAAATTTATTTCTAGATTTACTACTAAATTAATTTCTCAATTTTTTATTAAATTTATTTCTAAATTTACTATTAAAGTGACTGCTGAATTTACTATTAAATTTACTACTAAATTTACTTCAAAATTTACTACTACATTGACTACTAAACTCATTGTTAAATCTACTACTAAATTAGTTCCAAGATTTACTACTAATATTAATCAGTAAATTTACTATAATAAATTTACTACTTTCAGTACTAAATTTTTGCCATTATTTCTAAATTTAATACTAAATAAATTTCTAAATTTACTATATGGGTAAATTTACAACTATTAGTTTACTAAAAAATTAGTTTACTACTAAATTAGTTCCAAGATTTACTACTAAATTGATCAGTAAATTTACTATAATAAATTTACTACTTTCAGTACTAAATTTTTGCCATTATTTCTAAATTTAATACTAAATAAATTTCTAAATTTACTATATGGGTAAATTTACAACTATTAGTTTACTAAAAATTTTGGTAAAAAATTTACTTTAGATGTATAACAAAAAGTACTATAGAAATAATAAAAATTGCGAAAAATATGCGCAGAAGTTGAAAACAATTTTTGTGTATTATTTAAGCAAAACATTATTATTTTTTTTTCCTTATAATAACAGAAATATATTTTTATTAGTTATTTATAGTAAATTGGAAAATCGATTGAAAATTTGTTTTAAAAAATGACAGTAAAAGTTGCATTTCTTTTTATATTTACTGCATTTTTACAAGGTATATATATATATAAGCGAAAAAAAATTGATTAACTATAAATAGATTTAGATAATAAATAAATACTCTCTAAATCTGAATTAGTCACTTTTGACTAATGAAATAGTTTCAATTTGTACATGATAAGTTCCTCCAAATATCGCAGCGGGTCAACAATGTGACCATTATTGCCCTAGGGTAATAATGATTCCTTTATTTCCCTTGGGTAAAAATTATTAATTTATTGCCCTCGGGTAAAAATGACTACTTTATTGCCCTAGGGTAATAATGACTACTCTATTGCCTTTAGGTAATAATGATTACTTTATTGTCCTTGGGTAAAAATGACTACTTTATTACCTTTGGGTAATAATGATTATTTTATTGTCCTAAGGTAAAAATTACTATTTTATTGACTACTATTTTATTTTATTATTTTATTTTATTGGCAATAATGATTATTGTATTGCCCTAGGGTAAAAATAGTTACTTTATTGCCCTAGAGTAATAATGACTATTTTATTGTCCTAGGGCAATAATGGGCACTTTATTGACCGCATGGCTATAAGGAGGAACTTATAAGTTATAAGTAAGAAATAATAAGAACTTTATAAGTAAATAAAAATAAAGTGACCAAAATACTTCTGAGTTGCATAAGTAAATATATGTATATGTAATCAGCGGATTTAATTATATCAATAAAATTAATTTCTAGCCGCTAATCTTAAATCGAATTTACGAGATAAAAATATTGCAGAGAATAATGCCAAGTACGGAGAATTTCCTTATCAGGTATCAAAGATTAGAATAAATTTAGTCTTTTCTGATTCTTTTTCACTGAAATCCTTTTTATGTATATTTTTTTTCTAACATAGGTTTCGCTACGCATTTTTAATCAACACGTTTGTTCGGGAGTAATTATAAAAAGCAAATACGTTCTCACATCTGCTCACTGTGTTGAAATGTAATTTTAATTTATATTTTATACTTAAATATAGTTATTTTTCTAATATTATTTTAAATATTTATTTATTCAAGTTGTTAATTTTAATTACTAAATTATTTGAGTACCATCAATCGGGTCAATATTTACCCACACTGATGGCAGTTAATTAGTAATTTAATTCTGAAAGGGGTAAATTAATAATTTACATATATAACAAATTAATAGTTTAAAATTTAAATTATTGAATAAAAGTTTCAATAATTGAATAATAGTTCAATAATTTTTGAAATAATTTAATAACAGTTTATTTAATTGTTTAAATAATTAAATAATAATTTAAACAAATAATTATTTATTTATTTATATGTGTTTACGGGCACAAAGCCCTTTTGTACAAAGTACTTAACAATATATTAAAACTAATTAACAAGAAGTTAGCGTAGAGAAAGTTCAAACATTATTATTTTCGAAGATTGCTAACTTTAAATTCCTGACAAATTTGCTCATTGGTGTTGTAAAAAAATCTAAATTATTATTAGCAAGTAAGTTTGCTGCTTTACAAATTCTATGAATAGGTGAATTCTCACCATACTCTGTTCTATGATAACCTAACTTAAACAAACCACTAACTCTCCTCAAATTACGCGATGGTATATAAAAATTAATTAGTTCAAGCAATTCAGGACAAATGAATATTCCATTTACAGTTTTGTATAAAAATAGAAGATCAGAATATAAGAATCTCGTCGATAAATCCTGAATTCTGAAGTGCGATCTCAACATACCATATTCATGACTATAAAAATCGTGATTTACATTTGCCTTATAGGCTAAAAAACGCAAGAATCTGTTTTGAATCTTCTCCAATCTATCAATGTGGACATCATAATAAGGCCTCCAGGCAATCGATGCGAACAAAACAGGCGATCTAACTAAAGAAAGATACAAAGTTCTAATAGCTGTTATGTTGTTAAACATCGATGCATTTCTGGTCACAAAACCAAGAGTCCTGAGAGAATTCTCAGCTACATGATCTATATGTTTAGTGAAATCGAAAGTAGATTGTAAAATTACTCCAAGGTCACGAACCTCCCCCACTCTATTTAGAATAGAATTGCCAATTTTGTAATTAAATAATTGCGGTGATAAAGATTTTGAAAAAGTGATTACCGAACACTTCTTAACATTTAACAAGAGTTTGTTAGTTAAAGACCATTTATATAATTTATCAATGTCTTTTTGAAAGTCCTCGGCATCAGCTGTGGAATTGATAACTTTATATAATTTCATATCATCCGCAAATAAAAGAAATAAAGAGTGTTTAAATAAAGATGAGACATCATTTGTAAATAAAATAAATAAAAGTGGTCCGAGGTTCGAACCCTGAGGCACTCCCGATGTAGCATAAAAAACATTTGAATAGTCGTGATTAACACGAACTGTGAGCGTTCTGTTTGATAAATAGCATTTTACCCATAAAAGAAAATTTTGAGAAAGCCCAAAGTCCCTCAGCTTTGCCACCAGAATATCGTGATTTACCTTATCAAAAGCTTTTGAAAAATCTGTGTATACAGCATCAACCTGGAGGCCTCGCTCAAGATTGTTAAGTATAAAATTAGAAAATATACACAAATTGGTTTCCACAGATCTGCCTCTAACGAAGCCGTGCTGTTCGCCTATAATGAAATTAGACAACTGAAAATAAATTACATCAAGTACTAAACTCTCAAATACTTTCGAGATTGCACTGAGTATAGTAATCGGTCTGTAATTTTTTACTTGATCTTTAGATCCATCCTTATAGACAGGAACAATAATTCCCTTTTTCCACTCAGAAGGAAAAGTGCATGTAGACAAAGACATATTAAATATAATATACAAAGGTTCCAAAAGAGGCAAACGGCAAGACGAATTATAGATAAATAAGAATAAATAAATTATCAGTTACAGTGTTTGAAACAATTTTTGAAATAATTTAATAACAGTTTATATAATTGTTTAAATAATTAAATAATAATTCAAACAATTAATTACAAATAAATAAAAATAAGTAAATTATCAGTTACAGTTTTTGAAATAATTGTTCAAATAATTGTTTAAATAATTAATAAATAGTTTGAGTAATAATTAAATAATAGTTTAAATAATTAAATAATGCTTTAAATAATTAAATGACTGTTTAAATAGTAATTGATTAATATTTTAAATAATTGAATAACTGATTAAATAATTAAAGAATAGTTTGAAAAGTAAATTGATAGTTTAAATATTTAAATTATAGTTTAAATAATTAATTTTTTTATCTTGGTGCTTATTTTTTCAGTCACAAAAATGTTCCTCGAAAAATAAAATTAGTCGTTGGCAGTTTGAAATTAAGTCGACAAATATTAATTTATTATGCAAGTAAAATTATTATTCACAATAAATTTAATCGCACAACTGGAGAGAACGACATTGCTTTGATTAAAGTAAGAAATATTTTTAAATAGAATAAATTGTTTAATTCTTTTCTTTAAATTATTTTGTTAGTAATTTTTTTTTTAATTTTTATGTTGTTAATTTTTTTTAATATAATTTTAGTATGTTGTTAATTTTTTTTTCATTATTTTTCATATTTTATGAAAATTAAAAATTTTAATAACTATCCGAAAAAAGTTTTAAAACTTATAAAAAGAATTAAAAAATTTATCTTTAGGTGAGAAATCGCTTTATCTTCAGCGGTATAGTCAACGTTATTCGACTGCCAAATTTGAATCACACTTTAAATGTTAATCAAACTGTTATAGTTTCCGGATGGAGTCGAGTATATGTAAATTGTTTAAAAGTTTCTATTTAAAAAAAAAAATGTTTAGACACATTTCGCAATTATTCATAAAATTTATCGCTAATAAAAATTCCAATGACGGTAAAATCGAAAATTAAGTACAGAAAAAAGAACATGTTTTCTCTCTTCTAAAGGAATTTAAATTGTATTTTTAAATTCATGTATGAAAATAAAATTTATTTGATAGAAGACTAATTATATTTTTCACAATTGTTTTTTAAAGTGTGAAAAAAATCGTTTATTCGAGTTGGTAATTTGGGAGAATTTTTTTTTTTTCGTGAAGTCGTTGGATTTTTAATAGTCTCTATTCTGCACTCTTTTATTTTACTCTTTTTTTACTTTTTTATTTTTAAAGGGTACAATTTATTTTTTCATTCAATTATTGTTATTTTTATTCGGGATTTTTTTTTTACTGGCAAAATGATAAATTGGACAATTTTGATTGCAGTTTAATGGTTACATTTCTGATCATTTGCAACGAGTACAACTTGTCATTGGAAATCATAAATCTTGTAGAAAAATATATAATTCAGAATTGTCTGCAAAATTTTTATTTTTCACTTATCATAAAAAATCGGAGGTGTGCTTAAGTAATAATGGACCGTTTCGTGTTAGAGAATTGCAACATTTTTGCGCATATGATCCAAATTTTATGCGGGGAAATTGTCAGGTATATAATATAAGCAATATATAATGAAATAATTTATTTCTGAAACAGTAAAATTTATTATATTTTGATACAGGAATTTACTTCATTTTTTAAAGGTTTTGCTTCGGAAATAATAAAATTTACTATTACTTCAGATATAGTAAAATTTATTATATTTTGATAATAAACAAAGTTACTAAAATTTACTTCGAAAATAGTAAAATACTATTTTTTAATAGTAAAATCAACTTTATTTTTATATTAAATTAAACTTTAGGTACTTTAACAATAGTAATATTTATTACATTTTGATAGTAAACTTCATTTCGCAAGAAGTAAAATTTATTTTACTTTCACAGGAAAAAAAAAGTCTGACTCCGTTTACACCTTAAATTCAGCCTCAAAAATAGGCTGAAAGTAAAACTTTTTTTTTAGTGTGTTTGAACTAAACTTTATTTCGAAAACAATAAAATTTACTATATTTTGATGCTAAAGTTTACTTTACAATTCAATTTTACGTAAAATTTCGATTATTCGGAAATTCTTCAATTAAATTATATATTAGAAAATGGAAACTTCAAATAATTTCCAAACAATGTTAATTAAATTTTTTCAAAAAAATTAATTCTACAGAATTCTTAGTTAAAAATATGAAAATTTCAGATTTTCAAAGATTTTAATTTGAAACCTTTTCAAAATTCAATTATTTCTAAAAATTCATGCTTTTAATATGCAATTATTGTCTAAAATTTAAACTAAAATTCATCTTTAAATCAATTTTTATTTGAAGATTTTATGAGAATTCAATTATTTAAATACAAAAATAAATAATTTTTTGAATAATTGAATATTTCTTAAAATTGAATTCTCATAAAAAATTTTATTACTTAATTTTTAAATAATTGAACTCTTTTGACGAATTTTAATAAAATTTATAAATAATAGAATACCTGAGAAATTTTTATTGTTTATGAAAATAATTAAATTTTTGCTTGGAATTTTATTTAATTTTTTTTAAATAATTGAATTTTTGCTTAGAATTTTATTGAATTTTTCTTTAAATACTTGAATTCTTTTAGGAAATTTTATTAAAATAGTACAGATATTGAAAATAATTGAAATGAGTAAAATTTTTAAAAATAATTAAAATTTAGTCAAGAATTTTATTTAAAATTTTTGAAAAATTTGGATGAAGAATTTGGCTATTAATAAAGATGATTAAAATCATGACGAGAATTTTTAAAAAAATGTTTGAAAATTTTGCAAAGAATTTTACTAAATTTCCTGAAAATAATTGAATAAATAATTCTACAGAATTTGTTAGTTAAAATTATAAAAAAATTCAGATTTTCAAAGATTTTAATTTAAAATTGTTTCAAAATTCAATTATTTCTAAAAATTCACGCTATAATTCTTAGTAATATTCAATTATTTAAAGTTTTAATAGAAATTCATTTTTAAATCAATTTTTATTGGTAAATTCTACGAGAATTCAATTATTTAAATAGAAAAATAAATAATTTATTGAATAATTAAATTTTTCTTAAAATTAAATTCTCATAAACAATTTTATCAAAAAATTTTTTATATAATTGAATTCTTTTAGAAAATCTTACTAAAATAGTAGATATGGAAATTAAAAATCGTTGAATTGAGAAAATTTTTTAAAAATAATTGAATGTCCGAGAAGAATTTTATTATTTATAGAGATAATTGAAATTTTGACGAGAATTTCTGTCAAGAATTTTATTATTTATGAAAATAATTGAATTCCTAAAATGAAGTTTATTACTTTTGCAAATAATTAAATCGCTGTAAGAACTTTTATTGTTTATGAAAATAGTGGAATTATAGAGAAGAAATTCATAAAAAATTTATAAACAATTGAATCTATGTATAAAATTTTATTATTTTCGAAAATATTGGAATTATAGCGACGAAATTCATAAAAAATTGGTGAATCATTGAATTACTGTAATATTTTTATTATTTATGAAAATAATTAAATGTTTGCGTAGAATTTTATTAAAATTTTTCTTAAATAATTGAATTCTTTTGGAGAATTTTATTAAAATAGTAAATATTGAAAATCATATTGAATTGAAGAAAATTTTTGAAAATAATTTAAATTTTTCCAAGAATTTGATAAAATTATAAAATTTTTGAACATAATTAAATTTTTACGAAGAATTTTATTGCTTTTGAAAATAATTGAATTTCTGAAATTATTTGTAACTTTTCCAATTTTATTTAGTGTTTTTAATTAAAATTCTTCTATAGATTAATTATTTTTAATAATTAATTAAATATGTATTAAAAATTTTACTAATTTCAGAAGAATTTAAATTATTAAAATTTTTTAGAATTTTAAGTTCTTTAAAATTTCTAATTGAATTCATTCGAAATTGATATTTTATAAAATTTTAATTTAAAACCTTTTGAAGTTGATTTATTTATCAAATTGTAAATGCAACTCTTTTAAAATTCAATTAATTCTGATATATTTAAATAAAATTATTCATTAAATATTTTTATGCATTTTAAGAACTATCGTTCTTCATGAATTAAGTTATTTAACAAGAAATTATTGTCAGAAATAGAAAGAATTGAAATTTTTTTATTACAATTCGTGGTAATTTCTCCTAGTCTTTTTTTTTTTTTTTTTTTTTTTGGGTCTTTTTGACCCAAAAATTCAGAATTTTTTTATGAATTCTAAAAATTTAATTTTTCCCAGTACTTTTAATGAAAATCACTAACTTTTCCCTGAATTCCCTGACCTGTAACAACCATGAGTTATCATTTGGATTAATTTATTTTTAGTTTGACTCGGGGGGTGCTTTGACAGATAATGGAGTACTTGTTGGTCTCGTTTCATGGGGCGATCCTCTTCATTGCGGTGGTTTCGATTATCCAGTTGTTTGCATTAAAGTTTCAAATTATATTAATTGGATTAATGAAAATGTTGGATAGATTATTTCGCAATTTGCAGTATTATTAAAGTTGATCTAAATTCGACACTTACCAAAAAACAATTATTCTTCAAATATTCGATATTTTAAATTTTAATACCTGTTTATCGTATTATTATTTTTAAAAAGTTTTTTTTTTGTAATAAATTCTTTTAATAAGTTTTAATCTTTTAATAAGTTCTTAGTAAATTTTTAGTACTTCATTTAGTAGTTTTTAGTTGTTAAAATTTTTTCACTAAACAAAAATATTATTTGTCGCAAAAATAAATATTTACTTTTTAACTATTTAAAAAAAATAGTAATATTAGTTAATTTTTTTTTAAGTGTTAAGTGCCGATAGGTGTAAAGTAGAATTATTTTTATTGGAAGTAAATTTGTTATTAGGTATTGTTTCCTAATATTTTAATTTCTCATAAAATGTATGTCGATAATATTGATATTGAAAAAAAATTAAATACCATTTTGTGAATAGAAAATGGCATTGAAATAAATAATATAAAGTTATTGATTGAATTTTGAGATGAATTTAATTTTAAAAAGGTGTGAAATGCGTGTTGTCAGTATTTATAATTCTATATATACAAGAAAGAGTTGAACTTCTACGCTAAAGACCTTGATTTGTACAGCTAATGATTGAATGTATCGACAATGGTTTTCACTTTTCATTCGCATTGTGTGAAAACAGTGTGTGTTTAGCATTTCATTGCTTTTTATCAGCAAACATTATAGACAAAGTGTGTTTTGTATCTAAACAAATCCGGTTTACAAGTACAATTTGTTATTGTATACTTCTATAATTAGTAATTACAATGAATGTAACATTTAATTAAAAAATTAATTTTAACATTTTCAATTATAATTTAAGTAATTTCTTTTTCCAAAAATGAATTTTAATTTTTTTCTCATTCAAAAAACGAATATTTACTAATATTATAATTTCAGTTTTCTGAAAGTTTTTTACTCTAATTTTTTTTTTGCTTAACAAAGCAAAAAAATTTTTTTTTTTATTTTAATTTTTGCTTTAATTAAAAATTGAAGTTTTAAATTGACAAAATTGATTGAAACATAATTTTTTTTTTAAAATATTTATACATGTAATTATATGCAATTGAAATGCAATTGAAATATACAATTGAAATGTTATTAAAATATGAACAACGGAACTGTGGTTGAAATTTGATTAAAATTTAATTTTAATATTGTGATCGAAAGGTAATTCGATATTAATTTTACGTATTGTCTCGGAATAATTAATATAATAATTATGGATTTTCATTAATCAATATCACGATAATATTTGAAAATTAAACGTTATTTTTAGAATTTATTGTTTTATTGGTTCAGAGAGAGAGAGAAAGAGCGGATATTCATGGTTAAAATTTTTTCTCTTTTGGAATGTAATCAATTAAAGTATCTCCTTGATAAAGTAGAATCAACTGATATTATCAAATACTGACCTTCAATAATATTAACCGTGTTAAATAAACAATAAATAAATAAATGTTATATTTATTATTAGGTATTATTATTATTATTATTATTAATATTAATTTTTATTATTATATTATATATTAAATATTAAATAATATATAAATAAATATAAAAATATTTTATTTATTTATTCATTTATTTATTTACTTATTTATTTATTAATTTATATATAAAAAGTAATTGAAATGAATTTCAGAAAATTAATACACGAAGATTATTCAAATAATTGGATAATTTACGTTATTAGGAATTTTATAAATATTTTTCATTCATTTCTTCATGAGTAAAGGGTTAATTTTCCTTTTCTTTATCTATAAAAATTACCATTTTTTTTGTATTGAATTTTATTCGTTTTTTTTTATTCTCATTCTAATAAAATTGCAGTTATTTTTTGTGATTGAACCCGAGAGAGAAATAGGCAGTCTTGCGAAGAGAATGAATAGTTTCAGCATACATGCGAGTGTAGAGTTGAAAAAAAACACAATTGTTTCCTTTTTTATTCAATCAACTTAAAACATTTTTTCGTCCTCTCTCTCGTATTCAATTGTTTAAAATATAACTTTTTTTTTTTTTTTTAAAAAAAGAGTAAACTTTTCGTTTTTGTATTTTATTTAATATTTACAGAACAATATTAAATTGAATAGAAAATTTTAATTCGTGAAATTATTTCAATTTTCTAAATTATAAGAGTTAATTTAAATAGATATAAAAATATATTGTAAATTTGACTATTTATTAAATAAAGTTTAGTGCAAAAATAAAGCAGTATTTACTAATTTTAAAGTAAATTTAATCTAGAAATGAATTTCACTTAATTTATTAACTATTATTTTTACTTTTAATTTTAATTTAAAATTTACATTATAATTTATATTTTCATTTATTAAGTAATCACTGTTTATTTTGAAGAGAGTAAAATTTACAATATTTTTATATTAAATTTAATTTCTGAAATAGTAAAATTTACAATATTTTTAATGGTACAATATACGTAGCAAAGTTAGTTGCTTTTGCAAAAAATTAGTGTCAATTATTTAGAAAATTCTCATACCAAGATATAGCCAATTTTAATATCAAAATATAGCAAATTTTACTAATTCCGAAGTTAATTTAAATTTTGAAATACAGTAAATTTTACTATTTTCGAAGTAAAGTTTACTATGAAAATAAATAAATTTATAATTTATTGAAGTTGTTAATTATTGTTTGTTATTACAATTTGTTAAAGGAATTTTTTCACCAAATTAAAAAAAGTTTTATTATTTTAATTTGTTTTTAAAAAATCGCTTTTTATTTCAATTTTTATAGATATTTATACTGTTCTCTAAATTTGAATTAGTTAAAAATAATTCATTTGACAGTAGATAATAAGCCACTGATTCAATAATAGTATGTAAATAAATTTTAAAAAATTATCGATTTAATAGAAATTTTGTGAAATTCAACTGAAAATAATTAAATTTGTTAAAGAATTTCATTAAAAACTTTTTAACAAATCGAATTTTCAAAGTATTTTAATTTAATAATTGATAAATAATTGAATTTTATAAAGAGTTACATTCTAATGTATTTATGTTTCTTTGAGCGAATATTAATAATTAAAATTTTTATTAGTTAATTTAAAAAAAGATACACACTTAACATTTTTTAATAAAATTGAATTCTCGCAAAGTTTTTTCTGAAATTTCTGAAAAATAACATTTTTGAAATTTTTCAATTCTGTTGTTTCAAGATAATTGAATTTTTATAAACAAATAATTGAAATTTTTTGATATAATTGAAATTTCTTTACATTCTATTAAAAATAATTAACTTCTTTTAAAGAATTTTATTTAAATTTTTCGAAAATAATCAAGAGAAGTTAGTCACCGTTATTATAATTTTATTTTTAAAACTTTCTTTGCAATATAAATTATTTTCATAAATAGTAAAATTCTCATTGCAAAATTTCAATTATTTTTCATACAATTTTAATCGAATTCAACGAAGAATGTATAATTATTCTTAAAAATTTTATTAAAATTCGTCAATAGAATTCAATTATTTCTAGAAACCGTAAAAAAATTCTTCCCAAGAATTCAATTATTTCCATAAATAGCAAAATTCTTCAGATTTACTAAATTCTTTTGAATATTATTTTTAAAAAATATTCCTCACAAGAATTCAAATATTTTCACAAATTTCCATAAAATTCTAAAAACAAATTCAATTATTTTCAAAAGTAATAAAATTCTTCGCAGAAATTCAATTATGTTTAAATTTTTTTTAAATTCTCCTCAAAATTTCAATTGATTTTATAAATAATTAAATTATTCTGCACAATTCAATTATTTTCAAAAATAATAATAAAATTCGTCTCAAGAATTCAATTATTTTCAAAAGTATTAAAATTCTTCTCAGAAATTCAATTATGGTCAAAAATTTAAAATAATTCTCACCTAATTTTCAATTATCTTTTTAAATAATTAAATTGTTCTCCAAAAACTCAATTATTTTCAAAAATAATAATAAAATTCGTCCCAAGAATTCAATTATTTTCAAAATTATTAAAATTGTTCTCCACAATTCAATGATTTTCATAAATTTGCATGAAATTCTGAAAAACAATTCAATTATTTTCAAAAGTAATAAAATTCTTCGCAGAAATTCAATTATGTTTGAAAATTTTTTTGAATTCTACTTAAAATTTCCATTATCTTTATAAATAATTAAATTGTTCTCCACAATTCAATGATTTTCATAAATTTCCCTAAAATTCTAAAAAATAATTCAATTATTTTCAAGAGTAATAAAATTCATCGCAAAAATTCAATTATGTTTAAATTTTTTTTTAAATTCTCCTCAAAATTTCAATTATTTTTATAAATAATTAAGTTTTTCTTCACAATTCAATGATTTTCATAAATTTCCATAAAATTCGACGCAAACATTTAATTATTTTCATAAATTTGTAATAACATTCTTTGGAAGGATTCAATTATTTTGATAAATAGTAAAATTCTTTGCAACAATTCAATTAGTTACACTTTAATAAAATTGAGTTAATCAAATTTTCAATTATAATTATGAACAGACAAGATTATTTTAAAAAATTGAAAAAATTTTTTTCTTTAATTCAATTATTTTCCAAATTTTTGATTAAAATTATTAAAAAAATAGGTTTTTCAAAAAATTTAAAGAAACTTGTCAATAGAATTTAATTATTCATAAAAATTAAAAAATCGAATAAAATTTTTTGAAAGTTATTTGTAGATTTATTTATGTTCGAAAGCAAATAAATTTAAATTTGATGAAAAAAAAACCGGGAAAAATTAGGACAAAGCTGGGAATTTTCTTGAACGAAAATAGTAGACACCGTGTATTTGTTATTACAATTTGTTGTTAAACAATTATTTGTTAATTAATATTATTAAAAATACGTCACGATGACGTGACAGTTAGTTATTTACTATTCTTTTCAGTTTGAAAAGTTACTTTTTTAAAATTAAATAAAAAAAATTAAATAAAAAAAATTAAATTAAAATTTTCATTTTCTAAACTGATTATTATCGAAAGTTAGAGAATGGCATTGACACTGACATTGAACTTTATATAGTTTTGCATGAGTTTATCTGGAATATTGAAGTAGTTTGTGTTCGTATATAAAATGGGTCAGAAAATGAAGTTACCCTGGGCCGGCTCTCACTCTTTGCACTCTGTGTGGAACGATATCAGACCTTGGACTGCTAACCCACTATAGCAACATATCCAGGAAGCGTCAAACGTCCTTCGCCTCCCGATAATACTAGCTATAGATACAGATAAAGTCTCTCTCTCTCTCCCTCTAATCATTCGAAATTTTAGACAAGCACTGAATCTGACCCACTTATATTTTCTTCCAACATTGGTCAATTCAACATTTTCTCTATATAGTGATAATAATAATAATAACAATAAATGGCCCGCAATCGCCAACATAAATCCTTTAAATAATGTCCTCACTTCCTTCGCAGTTGAATTATGAATGATCTCTGTTTTTGCCGTATGCGCGAAATTAATTCACCTCCATAAAAGAAAATAAAACTAGTCGTAATGTCACGGGTCAGAAAATTTCTATATTAATTTCACCAATTTATTATACACACTCTAACTCCTCAAAAAGAATCAATTATTTTTGTCTTTTTCTTCTTGGATGTTGGTCAACATTTTGTCATTTATTAATAACCGAGTAATGAATTTTTCTTTGGAAAAATATTTTTCGAAAATAACGAAAGATTATTAAAGTACCTACAGAAAAGAAAAGTCTTTTATTTACTAATTTAATTATTTTTAATATCTACTATATTAATAAAAAATTTCTCAAATGAAATTGAATAGGTAATTTAAAACATGTTTATATAAAATTCTTCGCAAATATTGAATTATTTTCGAAAATAATAAAAATTTCTGAGGAAATCAATTATTTACATTTTTTTTAAAATAAATTTCTTCGCAAAAATTCAATTATTTTCATAAATAAACAAATTTTCACATGCATTCAATTATTTTTTAAAATTTTAATAATAATCGTTGCAAGAATTCAATTATTTTTATAAATATTAAAACTCATCGCAGGATTTCAATTATTTTTAATACAATTTTAAAAGAATTCCGCGAAAAATGCAATTATTCAAAATAAGTTTGATATAATTTATTTATTAGAATTTAATCATTAATTTCAAATTCAGTTTTAATTATATTTGTTGAAAGAATTTAATTATTTTCAAAAATTTTAATGAAATTCTTCAGAAAAATTCAATTATCTTCACGAATAATAAAATTATTCGCAGGAATTCAATTATTTTCAGAAATTTTTATGAAATTCTTCGCTAGAATTCAATTATTTTTAACAAAAATTAATAAACTTTCGAAGAATTCAATTATTTTTAAAAATAATAAAATTCTTCTGATGAATTCAATTATTTTTAAAAATAATAAAATTCTTCTGAGGAATTCAAATATTTATTTTAAAAATTTTAATAAAATTCGTTGCAAGAATTCAATTATTTTCACAAATAATAAAATTATTCCCAAAAATTCAATTATGGTCGAAAATTTTTAAAAATTCTCATCTAATTTTCAAATATCTTCATAAATAATAAAATTCATCTCCAAAAACGCAATTATTTTCAAAATTTTTTTAATAAAATTCTTCAAACGATTCAATTATTTTCACAAATTATTTCGTAATTCAATTATTTCAAAGTTCAAACAGAATTTTCCTAATATTTTTCGAAAAAAATCAATTATTTAAATAGATTTTTATAAATTTCTTCGCAAGAATTCAATTATTTTTATAAACAATAAAGTTCTTCTTGGAAATTCAATTACTTTTTTAAAATTTTAATAATAATCGTTGCAAGAATTCAATTATTTTTAATACAATTTTAAATGAATTCCACGCAAAATGCAAAGACTATTCTTTAAAGTTTTTATAAAATTCTTTAAAAGAATTCAATTATTTTGTAAAATTTTAATAATGAAATTCTTTATAATAATTGAACTGTTTCAATATAATTTTACTAATGTTTTTTGAAAGAATTCATTTATATTTATAAATAATATATAATCTTCAAAGAAATTCAATTATTTAAAACACAATATTCAAAAAAGTTTTGAAAAAAATAATTTCTTTAAAAAGATTTTTTTAAAATTTTTCTCAAGAATGCAAATATTTCAAAAACTTTATTAAATTTCGATGAAAAAAAATTTAATTATTTTCATAAATAATAAAACTCATTGAAGGATTTAAATTATTTTTAATATAATTTAAAACTAATCCCGCTATAACAACGCAATTATTCTTAAAAATTTGAATGAAATTTTTCGAAAAAATGCAATTATTTAAAAAAAATTTAATATAATTTGATTCTTAGATTATAATAATTATTTTCAATCCATTTTTAATTATATTTCTTGAATGAATTTAATCATTATGAAAAATTTTAATGCAATTCTTCGTAAAAATTCAATTATTTGAAAATTGTTGATAAAGTGCTTTAAAAAATTGAATTTTAAGAAATGTTCAATTATTCAATAAATTATTTATTTTTGTATTTAAATAATTGAATTCTCGTAGAACTTTCTAAAAAGAATTGATTTAGAATTGAATAAAATAAAGTGATTAAAGTTTTGATTAATTTTATTTATAAATTGGAAGAAGAAAATGATTGAATTTTGAAAGAATTACTTTTGTAATTTTTAGAAATTCCTTTAGACAATATAAATAAGTATTTAAATATTTATTTTAAAAAATTATTCTATTTTTGAATGTAATTAAGAAATTATAAAAAAAATCTAGTCTTCAAGTTTAATTTTTCAATAGCTACTTTTTTTTTTACTACTTTTTTCCTGTCTTTGAGCTACTTTTTGAAAATTAATTATCGAGTACGAAGCCTGTAATGGTAATAATTTACCTTGGACAATTCTTTTTGTCTTTCCTTCTTGAATTTTGGTCAACATTTTGTCATTTATTAACAACCGAATAATTAAATTAATTAATAATAAAAGTATTTTATTTACAAATCAGATTATAAATTTTTAAATCTATATTAAAACTATTATTAGATGTTATTCCTTTTTATGAATTTTTGGTAATGATATAATAATTTACCTAGGGCGAGTGAATGAGTAATTTTTAGATTAGTTAAATAAAAATTTTGATTAAATACAAGTGGATAAATTTTTTCGAAATAGTTTAAATTTGAAAAAGTTAATTTCTTAAAAATTTAACATCAAAATCTAAAATTTAAAAAAAAAAAAAAAAATCTAAAATCATCATCATCATCTAAAATTTTGATGTTTATCTTAACAAAAGTTATTTTTTATCATTTTTCCTCTTTTAAAAATGTTGCAAACTTGAGTTTCATTTTCTTTTGTCTATATACAGTTAGTCTTCTTTTTACTGATACGATATTTTTTCTTGTCCTCGTGAGGAATTGAAGACGTGTTAACTTGTTCGTTGTGGAGCTTTAGAGAACCTATCTTGTTCCATACAGCATTTATAATTTCATCAAAACTTTGATGTTTATCCTCCAATATATTTTAATATGAAATTTTGTTGAAAATTCCTTATAAATGGATTCATACATATAATCCATAAAATCTATGTTAATCAATTATTATTAATTTAGTAATTATTAAATTAATAATTATTAAATTAATAATTTCAATTCCAATACACAACAGTGTGTATTGAATTTTCGGGTAGAGTTAGTGTCACGGTTCCTTTTGATGCATCTTCCAGAAAAACATTTTTTCTTATACTGTATCTAAAGAAAAAATGAAAATTATTTCTTGTTCTTTTTGCACACATTAAATATTATTTTCTTTCCTTTTTTCTCTTTTATTAATTTTTAGTTTCTATATTGATTACTTACGGATTCATTAGTACCAAAACGGTAGCTTTTTCGGGTGTCAAAAATGCAATGTGCTTAATGTCATGAATGCCATTTTTAATGGTGCTTATTCTTTGACTTCCTTCTGGTACGAATCTACAAAAAAAAACTTTTTTTTTTTGATACTACATTCAGCATTGTGACTAAAACTACTTTTTTCGGCTTTTTGTTTATTTTTAAACTTAAAGTAAACTTTTGGATTAATTTAACATTTTTGGATTTTATTAACAGTATAATTTTATAGCAAAACTGATGACAGAAATTGGGGATATTGTCGGTTTTGCTATGAAAGTATAGAAAAAATTACTCTCTTACTTGGAAAAGTGTCCCATGGCATAGTACATTGGTTGCTTGTAAAATGCATTCGCCGATGCATTTACAAGTATCGCCGAATCGACAAAATTACTAACCCAATTGGGACCACCTTGCATATTTAAAGCCATATTCCAATCTATCCAACCAATTACCCAATGCGATAAGTTGTCAATAATATTCCTCGCATAATTTTCCGCTCGTTTCCATGAGCCGAGTTTTACTTTTGGAGCTTAAATTATTTATATTGAAATATTTATTAAAATAGTTGTTAAAATATTTATTAAAATAGTTGTTAAAATATTTATTAAAATAGTTATTAAAATGGTTATTGAAATAGTTATTAAAATAGTAATTAAAAAATATAAAACTTTAACTGTAATTTATATTAAAATTTGAGGAAAGAAAAATTTATTTTATATAATTCTACTTACGTTCAAGTACCCCCTCTGATGCTTCGGTATAAATGAGAAATTGTCCTGGATATGTATTCTTCATTTTATCCAGTGTATTTAATGGCGTTAACCAATCAAAATACCAATGAGCACCTATGCCGGAAACAACACTTTTTGCTTCGTTGGTGTTGAGAATTTTTGGAACATAATCTGTTAGTAGGGCCCTTTGACCATCGCCTACTATAATTTTAATGTCATCTAGATCTGCTTTCTTCATTATTGGACCCAGAAATTTTGTTAGCCATTCACGTTGGTCGTCTGCGTACCATGTCATTGTTGGCATACCAACTGACATAAGATGTGCTATTACCGGTTCATTTTGAACAGTTGTACCCCAAAAATATAATTCCTCCTTTTTGTACTCTTGAAAAAATCTAATTTCACGATATTTTCGTGTTGAATTAATTTTATTATTATTTGTCATATAAAAAATAACTTACTATAAAATGCATTTACCATAATTCACATTTGACATTAAAAAAAAGTCAAAGTGAAACATAAATTTTATTTAACATAAAAATTACTTGAAATAAATTTCATTTAACATAAGAATCGCTTGAAATAAATTTCATTTAACATAAAAACCACTTGAAATAAATTTCCTTTAGCATAAAAACTACTTGAAATAAATTTCATTTAACATAAAAATCACTTGAAATAAAATGTAATAGACATAAAATTCATTTGACCAACAATTCGTTTAACATAAATGTCATTTGACATAATGATTAAATATTAACAACAAAAAAACAAAAATATATGATAAAAAATTACATTTTGACATAAAACTCATTTGACATTAATTTTATTTGACATAAAAATTTGTTTGACATAAATTTCATTATATTTGCCAGAAAAATTCATTTAACATAAACAATTTAATTTGACATAAAAATTCATTTAACAAAAATTTCTTTTTGTCATAAAGTTCATTAAACATCAAAATTCATTAGATATGAATTTCATTATATTTGACAGAAACAATTTATTTGATATAAAAGCTAATTTGACAAAAAGTTAATTTGACGTAAAGTTTATTAAACAAAAAAAAACACATTTGATAGGAATAAATTTCATCATATTTGACAGAAAGATTTATTTCACATCATTTTCATTTATATTTGACACAATAATTCATTTAACATAAATTTAATGTGACATAAAAATTCATTTGATATATATTTTCTTTGGCATAATGTTCATTTAACATAAAAATATGTTTAGTTAAATTTTGAATGAAACCAAAGTAATATTATCAAGAATGTTGTCATTGACCTATTTCAAAAATCGCGTATAATCATCTTACGTCAAATGAAATTTATGACAAGTGAATTTTATGTTAAATGACATTTTGTCAACTAAAGTTTATGTTAAATGAATTAATTTAAATTTATGCCAAATGAAATACGTATCTCAAAAATGAGTATTAAATTGAAGTTTCTCTCAAATTAAATTTAGGTCAAATTAAATTTGTGTCAACTGAAGTTAATGTCAAATGAATTTTATGTCAATTGAAGTTAATGTCAAATTAAATTTAGGTCAAATTAAATTTGTGTCAACTGAAGTTAATGTCAAATGAATTTTATGTCAATTGAAGTTTATGTCAATTGAAGTATACGTCAAATTAAATTTATGTCAAATTAAATTTGAGTCAATTGAAGTTTATGTTAATTGAAATTTATGTCAAATTAAATTTAGGTCAAATTAAATTTGTGTCAACTGAAGTTAATGTCAAATGAATTTTACGTCAATTGAAGTTAATGTCAAATTAAATTTAGGTCAAATTAAATTTGTGTCAACTGAAGTTTACGTCAAATGAATTTTATGTCAATTGAAGTATACGTCAAATTAAATTTATGTCAAATTAAATTTGAGTCAATTGAAGTTTATGTTAATTGAAGTTTATGTCAAATTAAATTTAGGTCAAATTAAATTTGTGTCAACTGAAGTTAATGTCAAATGAATTTTATGTCAATTGAAGTTAATGTCAAATTAAATTTAGGTCAAATTAAATTTGTGTCAACTGAAGTTAATGTCAAATGAATTTTATGTCAATTGAAGTTAATGTCAAATTAAATTTAGGTCAAATTAAATTTGTGTCAAATTAAATTTGAGTCAATTGAAGTTTATGTTAATTGAAATTTATGTCAAATTAAATTTAGGTCAAATTAAATTTGTGTCAACTGAAGTTTACGTGAAATAAATTTTATGTAAATTTAAGTTTATGTTAATTTAAGTTTATGTCAAATTAAATTTATGTCAATTGAAGTTCGTGTCAAATGAAATTTTTGTAATTGAAGTTTATGCCAATTGAATTGTATGTAAATTATAATTTATGTCATCTTATGTCTAATTAATTTTATGTCATGTTTTTTTTAATGTCAAAAGAAATTTATATAAAGTGATTTTGTTTGTAATCTTTTTTAAACATTTTTGCTCAACTTTTATTTCTGTCTTTTGAATTTAAAGAAAAATTAATTTTGAAAAATTATATAGAATTTTAAAAAAAGAAAACGGTCTATACCTAATTTTAATAAATAAAACAGTTTAGTTTACCACAAAAAAAAAAAAAAAAAAAAAAAATTATATAAAAATCGAAGTAGAGAAATGTGTCACCTTTAGTAAAATCGCCCATTTATACATTAAATTTTATAATTAACTCGTTATACTCACTTTACGAAATAATTAGCCCATGTTTGCCAATATTCGCGTCGAAGAAGTCCATTTCCATTCCACTCGGGTACAGTTTTCATCCATGGACTCGGACTCCACGGAGAAGCAATTAAGTTTACTTTTCTCTCAGACATTGAATTAATATTTTTCAGGATCGGTATCTATATATCAAGTATTATCAATCGATTACTTACAATATTTAATCTAAATAGTAAAATAAATAGTAAAAAAAATGTCCTTGAAATAACTTTTTCGAAATTTTTTCTCTAATTAATTCTCTTAATTTTATTTTACGTAAAGAAAAATTTGTTTTAAAAAATAAACTAAATACATTTTTATTTTTTTATAAAAATATTTTATAAACAATAATTATTTGTTTAATGTTTTTTTTTTGCTTTTGAATAAAAAAAAATATTAGCATTTATTAAAATAAAAATGTTTCTTTCATTCAAGTAAAAGATTTCTGAAAACCGAAGAAATATTTCTTTTAGTTAACAATATAATTTCTTTGAAATGTTTGAATCAATTTTTACTAATATTTAAATTTGGAGACAATATTGTTACCTTATATTCATAATCTTCTTCAACCAATTTAAAGTCTTCCAAGTCAAAATCATTTTCTGTCATTGCATAGCTGTAGGGTCTTGCAGAAAAATCAGAAACCCCCATTGGTACTCGGACTAAATTGTACTCAATACTTTCAGGACCAAAGTAGGAACTAAAAAATTTTAATTATTCTAATTGTAATAATATTTTGCAGAAAAAAAATTCATTAAGAATTTAAAAGTTCTTGTTTTTTAATTAAGAAAAAAAAATTGATTAAAATAATTTAAAAAAAAAATTCACCTTTCTTTCATACTAAAGTTAATTTCGAAAAATAAAAAATTTTACCATATTTTTGAATACTAGAATTTATTTTGGAAATAATAAAAAAATACCAATAACTTATTTTTTAAATAAGTATTTAATCATTATTATTTTTCCATAAGCATTCAAATTGAATTTTAAATCAATTTTTATTACAAAATTCTACGAGAATTCAATTATTTAAATTCAAAAATAAATAATTTATTGAATAATAAATAATTGAATGTTTCTTGAAATTCAATTCTTAAAAATAATTTTAACAACAAATTTTTAAATAATTGAATTCTTATGACAAATTTAAATCATATTTTTAACAATAATTAGGATATTTTTCAAGGAATTCGATTAAAATTGTGATTAAAAATAATTGAGATTCTGCGATGAGTTTTTATTATTTATGAAAATAATTAAATTCCTAAAAAGAATTTTATTATTAATTAAAATTATTCAATGTTATTAAAAATTTTTTTTAAATAATTAAATTCTTTTGGAAAAATTAATAAAAATAGTAGATATTAAAAATCATCGGAACTGATAAAAAGTTTAGAATATTGAAATTTTTCAGAAAATTTTTTGTTAAAATTCTTTGAAAATATTTAAAAATAATTGAAAATTTGACGAGAATTTTAAAAAAATTTTGTAACATAATTGATTTTCTGCGAAGAATTTTATTACTTTTGAAAATAATTGAAATTCTACGATGACTTTTATATTATTTATAAAAATAATTGATTTCCAAAAAAAGAATTTCATTACTTATGAAAATAATTGAATCCCTGTAAAAATTTTTACTATTTATAAAAATAATTGAATTCTTGTGAAAATTTTATTATTTTTTAAAGTAATTAAATGTTTGCGTAAAAATTTATCAAAATTTTTTTTTAAATGATTGAATTCTTTTGGAAAATTTTATTCAAATAGTAGAAATTAAAAATTATTGAATTGAGAAAAATTTTTGAAAATAATTGAAATTTTGACAAAAGTTGTATAAAAACTTTGAAAATTATTGAATATCAATTATTATTAGGTTTTCTTTTTTTATTTTGAATTTAAAAATAAAATTTGGTTCTGATTTTGTATTGCTAATTAAACTAAAAGAATTAATATGGTATAACAATTTTTTACTAAATATGAATAATATTTTTCGACTATTTTCATACCCTAAGAGTTTTTTTTGCATGTCATCCGATAAGGATTTTAGATTTACACCAACAGAGTCCGTCAATGAACCACCGAAACCAAGAATATTCTGATATGTTTTTGTTTGGTCAATGGTAATTTTTATATAGGTAGCTGGAAATAGAAACAAAATTTATTTCCATAAGAAAAATTCCCGAAATACTTTTTGAAAATTCTAACAAGTAAATCAGATAGGTACAGTGAATTAAAAATTAATTAAAATTACACTGAATTTAAAATTGTACTTACAACCTTGAATTTCATTTCCAAATTTTCCATTGTTAACCTGAAATCGAAGACCATTTTTACTCGATGAAATAATTGTATAATCCAACAGATCCTGTGTTTTCATTGCATTTGGAACTTTATCACAGTAATTTGAGTCACAAATACAGTATCCACTGTCGCCTTTAACTGTTTGAAAATTTTCACAGCCATGCGAAAAAATCCTTGCTGTAAATTGTTTTTTAGTTAATACATTTCCCCGTCTAAGATTAAAAAATTTAAAATAAATAAATAACTAAATAAATAATTAAATTAAGAAATGACTGAATAAATAAATAACCAAATAAATAAATAACTAAATAAGTAAATAAATAAATAAATCACTAAATAAATAACTAAATAAATATTTAGAGAAATAAATAAATAAATAAATAAATAAATAAATGAATAAATAAATAAATATGTAAATAACTAAATAAATATTTAAATTAACAAATTAATAAATAAATAAATAACTAAATAAATATTTAAATAAACAAATTACTAAATAAATGACTAAATAAATAAATGATTAAATAAATAAATATGAACACAATATATTTTTTTCCTTTAAAAAAGTTTGAGTCAATTATTTTTTTGCAATTAATAATATATTGAGTTTAATACAGTAAAAAGTATTGAATAAGTAAAATTGAAAATGTCAAAAATTTCTATAAGGTTTTTATAATAAAAGTTCCTCAAGCATTACCTGAAAGAAATGCAATTAGCACTGTTAATAATCTCATCGTGACAAAATGCATTCGACTGTTCACTGAAGATTTTCATTTACAAAATGAACTCTTTTTATAGGTATCATTTATCAGATGTTACTTCATTGTCTTCGAAATTTCTTTTTTTTCACTTGCACTCCACTACAAAAACATAATTGAATTCTTATCTTTAGATAAGATAAGTTCAAGTCTCAGTTTCACGCAAACTATTATGTTTTGACCCTTTTTTCAAATGTTGTGCAACTATACTTAGCTGCTAATTATAATTAACTATTAATATATCAATAGATATTGTGTACTAATAATTTAGCAACTAATTAATAATAAATATCTACTAAAAATTTAGCAACTAATTAATAATAAATATCTACTAAAAATTTAGCAACTAATTAATAATAAATATCTACTAAAAATTTAGCAACTAATTAATAATAAATATCTACTAAAAATTTAGCAACTAATTAATAATAAATATTTACTAAAAATTTATCAAAAATTCACATAAAGAATTTAATTAACAAATTTTGAAATAATTGATCTCTTTTGACTAATTTAAATAAAATTTTAAATAATAAAATTACATTTTTAAAGAAACTCGTGTACAATTGTAGGTTAAAAATAATTGAAATTCTGCAATGAGTTTAATTATTTATGAAAATAATTAAATTCTTGTAACAAATTTTATTCACATTTTGTTTAATTATTGAAATCCTGTAAAATTTTAATTATTTATGAAAATAATTCAATGTTTGCGTAGAATTTTATTAAAATTTTTTTTAAATAATTGAATTATTTTAGGAAATTTTATTAAAATAGTACAGATATTGAAAATAATTTGAAATGGGGCAAATTATTGAAAATAATTAAAATTTTGTCAAGAATTTTTTTTTAAATTTTTAAGAAATTGGATATTTATAAAGATAATTAAAATCATGACGAGAATTTTGAAAAATTTTTGAAAAATTTGTCTATATATAAAGATAATTGAAATCATGACAAGAATTTTGAAAAATTTTTGAAAGTTCTCAAATTTCTGCTAAGAATTTTATTACTGATGAAAATAATAGAATTCTTCTTATAAATAATGGAAATAATTGAAAATAATTGAAATTTTGCGATGAGTTAATCATTTCTAAAATAAATTGAATACAAAAAAAAGAATTTTATTATTTTCTAAAATAATTCAATCCTTGCACAAAAATTTTACTATTTATGAAAATAATTAAATTATTGCGAATAAATGTATAAAAATTTTGTAAATAATTGAATTCTTGTAAAATTTGTATTATTTATCAAAATAATTAAATGTTTGCACAAAAATTTATCAAAATATTTTTAAACCATTGAATTCTTTTAGGAAATTTGATTACAATAGTACAGATATTGAAAATAATTAAAATTCTAACTAAATTTTTAACTAAAATTCATTTTGCTTCCTCATGAGAAAGCTTTGCATTCGTGAAGATTTTCAATTTTTCAAAAGAAGATTATATGGATTCATTTTCATTTAAACATTAAATTATAATAATATGTATTATATATTATAATAATAAAATTACGAGAGATCTAGTAGGGACTGAACCCTACACAATCCTGAGGAATAGAGAATTTTATTTCAATTTTTTAGTAGTAGCACCATCACCCGAACGCCATCAGACAATCAAAATTTGGTAAAAACGAAGAAAAAAATTTCTTTCTTTCAAATTTATTAATTCTAATCGTCTGAAAATTACCAGAGTTCAACTAGGGACTGAACCCTACACAATCCTGAAGAATAGAGAATTTTATTTCAATTTTTTAGATGTAGCAGGTCCACCCGTACGCCATCAGACAATCAAAATTTGGTAAAAACGAAGAAAAAAATTTCTTTCTTTCAAATTTATCAATTCTAATCAACTGAAAATTACCAGAGTTCAACTAGGGACTGAACCCTACACAATCCTGAAGAATAGAGAATTTTATTTCAATTTTTTAGATGTAGCAGGTCCACCCGTACGCCATCAGACAATCAAAATTTGGTAAAAACGAAGATAAAAATTTATTTCTTCCAAATTTATCAATTCTAATCATCTGAAAATTACCAGAGTTCTAGTAGGGACTAAAACCCACACAATCCTGAAGAATAGAGAATTTTATTTCAATTTTTTAGTAGTAGCACCATCACCCGAACGCCATCCGACAATCAAAATTTGGTAAAAACGAAGATAAAAATTTATTTCTTCCAAATTTATCAATTCTAATCTTCTGAAAATTACCAGAGTTCTAGTAGGGACTAAACCCCACACTATCCTGAAGAATAGAGAATTTTATTTCAATTTTTTAGTAGTAGCACCATCACCCGAACGCCATCAGACAATCAAAATTTGGTAAAAACGAAGATAAAAATTTATTTCTTCCAAATTTATCAATTCTAATCATCTGAAAATTACCAGAGTTCTAGTAGGGACTAAACCCCACACAATCCTGAAGAATAGAGAATTTTATTTCAATTTTTTAGTAGTAGCACCATCACCCGAACGCCATCAGACAATCAAAATTTGGTAAAAACGAAGAAAAAAATTTCTTTCTTTCAAATTTATTAATTCTAATCGTCTATAAATTACCAGAGTTCAACTAGGGACTGAACCCTACACAATCCTGAAGAATAGAGAATTTTATTTCAATTTTTTAGATGTAGCAGGTCCACCCGTACGCCATCAGACAATCAAAATTTGGTAAAAACGAAGATAAAAATTTATTTCTTCCAAATTTATCAATTCTAATCATCTGAAAATTACCAGAGTTATAGTAGGGACTAAACCCCACAAAATCCTGAAGAATAGTGAATTTTATTTCAATTTTTTAGTAGTAGCACCACCACCCGAACGCCATCAGACAATCAAAATTTGGTAAAAACGAAGATAAAAATTTATTTCTCCCAAATTTATCAATTCTAATCATCTGAAAATTACCAGAGTTATAGTAGGGACTAAACCCCACACAATCCTGAAGAATAGTGAATTTTATTTCAATTTTTTAGTAGTAGCAGGTCCACCCGTACGCCATCAGACAATCAAAATTTGGTAAAAACGAAGATAAAAATTTATTTCTCCCAAATTTATCAATTCTAATCATCTGAAAATTACCAGAGTTATAGTAGGGACTAAACCCCACAAAATCCTGAAGAATAGTAAATTTTATTTCATTTTTTTAGTAGTAGCACCACCACCCGAACGCCATCAGACAATCAAAATTTGGTAAAAACGAAGATAAAAATTTATTTCTTCCAAATTTATCAATTCTAAACATCTGAAAATTACCAGAGTTCTAGTAGGGACTAAACCCCACACAATCCTGAAGAATAGAGAATTTTATTTCAATTTTTTAGATGTAGCAGGTCCACCCGTACGCCATCAGACAATCAAAATTTGGTAAAAACGAAGAAAAAAATTTCTTTCTTCCAAATTTATCAATTCTAATCATCTGAAAATTACCAGAGTTCTAGTAGGGACTAAACCCCACACAATCCTGAAGAATAGAGAATTTTATTTCAATTTTTTGGTAGTAGCACCATCACCCGAACGCCATCAGACAATCAAAATTTGGTAAAAACGAAGATAAAAATTTATTTCTTCCAAATTTATCAATTCTAATCATCTGAAAATTACCAGAGTTCTAGTAGGGACTAAACCCCACACAATCCTGAAGAATAGAGAATTTTATTTCAATTTTTTAGAAGTAGCAGGTCCACCCGTACGCCATCAGACAATCAAAATTTGGTAAAAACGAAGAATAAAAATTTATTTCTTCCAAATTTATCAATTCTAATCATCTGAAAATTACCAGAGTTCTAGTAGGGACTGAACCCCTACACAATCCTGAAGAATAGAGAATTTTATTTCAATTTTTTAGTAGTAGCAGGTCCACCCGTACGCCATCAGACAATCAAAATTTGGTAAAAACGAAGAATAAAAATTTATTTCTTCCAAATTTATCAATTCTAATCATCTGAAAATTACCAGAGTTCTAGTAGGGACTGAACCCTACACAATCCTGAAGAATAGAGAATTTTATTTCAATTTTTTGGTAGTAGCACCATCACCCGAACGCCATCAGACAATCAAAATTTGGTAAAAACGAAGATAAAAATTTATTTCTTCCAAATTTATCAATTCTAATCATCTGAAAATTACCAGAGTTCTAGTAGGGACTAAACCCCACACAATCCTGAAGAATAGAGAATTTTATTTCAATTTTTTGGTAGTAGCACCATCACCCGAACGCCATCAGACAATCAAAATTTGGTAAAAACGAAGATAAAAATTTATTTCTTCCAAATTTATCAATTCTAATCAACTGAAAATTATTAGAGTTCTAGTAGGGACTAAACCCCACACAATCCTGAAGAATAGAGAATTTTATTTCAATTTTTTAGTAGTAGCACCATCACCCGAACGCCATCAGACAATCAAAATTTGGTAAAAACGAAGAAAAAAATTTCTTTCTTTCAAATTTATTAATTCTAATCGTCTGAAAATTACCAGAGTTCAACTAGGGACTGAACCCTACACAATCCTGAAGAATAGAGAATTTTATTTTAATTTTTTAGATGTAGCAGGTCCACCCGTACGCCATCAGACAATCAAAATTTGGTAAAAACGAAGATAAAAATTTATTTCTTCCAAATTTATCAATTCTAATCATCTGAAAATTACCAGAGTTCTAGTAGGGACTAAACCCCACACAATCCTGAAGAATAGAGAATTTATTTCAATTTTTTAGTAGTAGCACCATCACCCGAACGCCATCAGACAATCAAAATTTGGTAAAAACGAAGATAAAAATTTATTTCTTCCAAATTTATCAATTCTAATCAACTGAAAATTACCAGAGTTCTAGTAGGGACTGAAACCCCTACACAATCCTGAAGAATAGAGAATTTTATTTCAATTTTTTAGAAGTAGCAGGTCCACCCGTACGCCATCAGACAATCAAAATTTGGTGAAAACGAAGATAAAAATTTATTTCTTCCAAATTTATCAATTCTAATCATCTGAAAATTACCAGAGTTCTAGTAGGGACTGAACCCTACACAATCCTGAAGAATAGAGAATTTTATTTCAATTTTTAGTAGTAGCAGGTCCACCC